TGCTCTTCAGGTGACAGCAACTCCTGGTCGTTGTGGCTGCTGCGTAGCCGATTGAGGATGAATGCCCCGTGTTTCTCTATCTGCAAGAGCAAGGAAAGACGGGCTGAAAATGAATAACTTGCCTAAGTCGGACTCTAGAAAGAGCAGAAGAGCGAAGCTAGGGGGAGTGACACTTCATAAAGTTTGCTCTTTTTCACATGAGTTGAGACGCAGTGGCACCAGTGTGCAAATAGCCCTTAAAGACTTCCGGCCCTGAACTAGACGGCAATTTCGCAGTATACACTCAAAATTAAATCTATGAGCTGTCTCTGGGAAATGGTCGCTTATAGCACTACATATTACGCCCTCAGGGAGACAGAATGATATATAAACAATTAGGAAATGTACCCAGACCGGAAGTGTGAGGCAGGGCTACCCTACAGGTGGTGTCATGAGTTTGTTGCCAAGCAAAAAAGGGCGAATAGGAATGAGAGTCTCGAAAGACTGGACTTCTCAAGGACAAAACCCTAGCGACCATTGTGAGCTTTCTTCACTGCATTTTCTTCAATGATCCCTAGGTCAGCGAAAGCAGAACAACCAACTTACATCGCGGACAAGCATTTCAAGCAAGAACACATTCTTTATAGTAATATTATAACTCATTCTAGCGTGTTTAAAGTTTTACATTCCTCACAACACGGATTTCGTAAGGGGGTATTCTTGTAGCACGTAACTAGTTGAATTCATTCACGACCAGCTATGGCTAATGAATGACAAATGACAGAGTGTTCGTTGCATATTTCTTAATTTCAGTAAGGCTTTCAATGTTGTGCCTCGCGATCTTTTCACTTCTACGCTTCGCGGTAATAAACTTGATGACAAAGTTTGTAAATGGGTTCACAAGTACTTATCCCTTAGAAAGCAGTATGTGGTTTTAAATGGCTTCCAATCCCAGACAGTTGACACCAGTTCAGGTGTACCTCAAGACTCTGTCCTAGGACCCCTTTTGTTTTTGTTTCTCATTTATATCAATGACATCGCCATGGATGTTGGCTCCATCATTTCAATGTCTGCCAATGACCGTGTTGTCTACAGAGAGATCAACAACATGCATGACAGCGCGATTTTACACAGAAGACTCGGATAACATTGAATCATAGCGTCAGTCATGACAAATGCCCCCAGCGTAAAGAAAGTTGTCATTTCTACGAGAATATCAGCACCGGCATTTAGTTATTCATTATAAATCGAAAAATCCTGAAAACTGTAAATGAATTAAAAGATCTATCTTGCCTCCGATCTGTGATGGAAAAACCGTATCGACCACATCTCCCTGAAAGCCTTGCGGATGATTGGCTTTTAATGGCGCAATTTTAAAGTTGTACCCCAGGCGTCGCTGAGAACCATTGCCCCGGTTGCCACTGACCCTAGTGACGCCACTGTGAACGGGTAATGTGATGTGCTATTAAACCCCCCTCCCCCCTTTGCAAATCCGCAGCTTGACGGTGACCGTTCGGCCAGCCCAGTGCCATGGGTTTCCCCCTCCAAAAACGTTGCTGCTTCGATCCTACTGGACACTGAAAACGTTGTCTTCACGGTCTGCGTGTGCTCGGTGGTTGGATGATTCACATGGAGCTGTCCTCAATCGTGACTGTGGCCGTAAAAGTCTATGTGATCATCGCCGGTGCTCCCCGCTTGCCAAGATGTAGCACTAGCCCTAAACTGAAGTTATCATAGTCGACGGATGGTCAACAAGTGCTTCCTTTAGAATCTGAAGATTAATTTTGACAACAATGATGAATTAAACGCTGCATTACTTTGGATATAACAAATGTAAGTACACTATGTGCATACCAAACTTAATCGCAGTATGAGTGCATGGCCTTGCACGTAACGACTCTGCAACTCACTTTTGTCCGAAAGCTATTGCACAGTTACCTTTGCAGCTGGCCTGTTTCATCGGATGCAATTTGCAATAGACGGCATTCTTTTATTAGGGGTTTGCTTTTATTGTGTATGAGGAGTGTGGAAACATACTGGTCGATGTGCAATCGCTACTGCGTGTCGAGTTCGCTTGATTTCGAGTCTTGTATATATCACCCCCTAGCGACTTGAAATTATGCTGTTGGACGTCAAAAAAAGTGTTATGAATTCAGGGATTGATTCCTCATTATTTTCAAACCAGTGTAAAAGGATTGCATATGAGTGCAATGTTTGGCTGTACATAATGCACATAATGTTTGTGGTACCGAGCAAAATATATGTGGATGATTCTGTGTTTTTGTAGAGCTATTTGTTTTGCAAAGCGGCAATGTAGTAACCCAATTTTGGTCCACAGTATTGTAATATGCGCCTAAACAAAACAGTGTGAGGATTTGAATGATGTTCACAAAACTGTAATGATCTGAGCCCACTTGTCTGGATCGTTGTTTCCGAACGCTATCAGCACGTACCCAAGGAGGGCATTGATCAAAGTTCGTTTGCTCGTCTCGCGAGATGTCTCCGACCGTTCGTTGGATCTCTAATATGTACTGCTTGTTGGCGACCAACGCTTACCAATAAATCTTGTTTAGTGCAACGGTGCCTCGTTTAGTATCCCCGAGACACAACGCTGAATCAAAGTGATTGCGGCGCTCGTGTTTTTTACGCTTACGTTGAGTGACCAGTCAGAGGCGGGTGTCCTCAAACGTGCTCACTGCCCGTGCGTCATACAGCAAAAATCAACTGCCCATTGCATCACACTTTGTCGGAAGATTGGACCCGCTGAAACGCAGTGCCCACGGTGAAACGATCCCCCTTTAGACCGTGCCGGTACAGATTTTTCCATTTTTGTGTTGCGTGGCCTGTAGCTACAACGTGTTTTCAAGTGTCAGACTACCATAATATCACGAGAGATGCCCAACCCCCGGAAGGTAACCCGCCCCCTACTTTTGGCACGATTTGCCATTTTTTCCAAAAACACAAAAAGATAGCCCACTTTTAACAATTGCAGGGCCTTGTCCAACGGTAACCTCGGCAGAATAGGTGTTACTTAGCGACGGCAGGAGATAAGCAAACATTGCTGACTGGGAAGGACAGTCGTATTTGGTTCATTGCCCCTCCCTGCAATCACAAGCTTTGCAGGTCTCAAAATCTAAAATTAGCATTTTTTTCAACTTTTCTTTTTATTGGACATTGAAAGTTAGCCCACTCCTTGTTTTCACCCAATTTGCTTTCGATTTTAGGTGGGCCACCTCTGAGGATATTACGGTAGCTGTGCATGCACCTTAAAAAAAAAAAGAAATACTGAAGTTGATCACAGAGTACTACCTGTCGTAAACCGCGTGGATTCCAATACACTCTGATGCCCTTGGCCAACCAATCCCCCCCTTGACCGCCATTTGTTATTTCTGCAGCTGGAACTCCCCAACACTGCACTCAATTTTACTCTAAATCAAAGTGTAGTCAAAGGCTGAAAGCCATAAACACCTGCACAGGCAAAAGCACAAGGTCATGATGCACACTCTGCACAAGATAGGATCAGCCAGTAGTAATACACACACACACAGTTTACGACTGCTTGATTGGCTCTACCAGCTCGCAGCCTTGGCCGTGCTCAAACTAACGTCGGAGAACAGCAGGCACATAAAGGCCGTGTTCCAAAATTTACTCGATCTTACTCCAGGGTAAGGGTTTTGTACCTTGGCGTTCTAAAACCTACCCGCGTCCAGCGTTTTTCAATCTGTGCTGTCACGTGATACGATCTGCCAAAGTAACTCGGATCCATTTGAGTAAGATTTGGAACACAGCCAAAGAGTGATCGGGCCACTTCACAAGTAAAAGAGCCTTCAACAAGAAGTTATTTTATCTGTTCAATGGTCTCTGTGTCGTTTGCTACTAATCAAGAGAGCCAGGTGAAGGGGGACATGTGGACAATGCCATGAACCATGATGAAATAAAACACACAACAAGAGACTAACGCATCTGGAGACTCAGGATGGTTATCCTACCTTTCCCAGGCGGATCTTCATGTAGCTGGTTAATATGTACTGGATGCGCTCGAGCTGAAACAACCAAGAAAGCTGTTTTATAGTTAATGACAGCCAATATCAAGAGAAAAAACTATACATAAACACTATTTGTATCGTGGACATTACACATGCAGTATTTGGACACGAATAACAGAAAGCAGGGAATCTAAAACAAAATATCTGAAACTAAAAAAAAAAAAAAATAACTAAAAAGGACAGAAGAACACATAGATCGCCATGCGGTCTAAATGAATTCTCGGCTACACATAATTTAAACCGGAGACGACCGGACGACAAGAGAGGTGCATACACACACGTCTCGGCATTTGCAGAGACGTGCCCGATGCCCTTCGTTAACTTGGTGCACAAATCCCCATACACTTGCAAGGTGTGTTTCTTCGTTCCTTTCTCACTGTCCTGGGTATCCATCACGACCTGTAGCAGTAAAATGTGCACCAGAACAACGTGCCAGGTCTATCGCCTAAATGAACAAGGCTGTCAACGCTGCGACCAATTGCATTCACCTCCATTCTGTGAACGGTGACTCGGAAGTCTCCCTTGTCAATCTGCTGGAGGTTTTCCTGCATGTGCGTCAGCTGGTCCAGGAGGCAGTCCACGACGTCTCCCAGGTACGGTAATATCTCGGGCGAAAACTTCTCATTCAGCCACGCCTGTGCCCGACATACAGAGAAACGATCAGTGGGGTCCCTGTGGGCCCTCACGACTAGAAACAGTGCTCAGGCCGGTAAATTTCCAAGAGCTCAAAACCTGCCCACCTCTTCTAACTTTTCTACCAACTGCTCCGTCGAGATGCATTCGTCATCGAGGTCTTCGGCTGATTCTACCCCTCTCGAGGCATCTAAACCGGCCGAAGCCATTTATCACACAACAAACCAACGTAACGTTACAACAAACTCAAGAAAGGCGCGTGAACCGCGAACGCACCCATTCTCGCCCACCCTCGCTCCCATTCACTTTGGCAGAATCTGCAATCGGCTGCCAGGCGTCGCTGCACATCGTTTTCGGCAATGACGTCACGCAGTCTGGTCGTCTGGTTAGGAGAGTATAGACTGCGGCCTTTGCGCCGAATTTACTACTTTACGCTGCGATTTCTTCAGGCCGATAGCGGTTTCACACCCAACTTTTTCTCAGTGACCCAGCGAACTGCTGCCAAGAATGCCCGAAGTTAGATCCGCCGCAGTTGCTAGCAAAGAGCACGCTCTAGCCGTGTCAAGAGACTACATTTCACAGCCTCGTCTGGGTAAGTGCACTTGACAAATGCGTGAAGCTTTGGACATCTTTCGCTTGAGAATCTTGCAGCCCTACATCACGCGGGCGGGTTCATGTTTGCGAATATGAAAGTGGAATAATCTGCGCTCATCGCTGTCAATCGCGCTAATTCTCTTCCAACGCGGTACGTATTAGTTGGCTCGATGACATTACCTCCACCCCTCGGTTGGCCTATCAGACTCCCGAACGTATATTCTACGGATCAGTTCCATTTGTAACACTTTTACCGTTTCCCGAACCACAGAGTGAGCGAATGTGGCTTCTGCTATTTAACGTTCACACAGACTGAGTACGAGGGGCAAAATGCGAGCACCGCCTCGGTGGTGGTAGCGGTCATGTGACTCAGGATGTCATGTGCCGCCTTCCTAAGGATGCCGCTTTCACAGAACCCTGACAATCGAAGGTCCTTTTGAGCGAGTTAATTACAGGGTCCTAGCGAGTTTATCTAGGCCAAGCTGCGTCGTTATGTAGAGCAAACCGTACGCAAAAACTATTTTTTTTGCGAGTTAGTTGCATTAGCTGCCCTGTATCAAGGTGAATAGTTGTTGACTTCGAAATAAAGAGAACCATAAAAGTACCGGAGTAACTTTCACAGCTTTTGTATGCGTCCGTGCAAAGTTCCAAGCACAATTAGATTTTTGTTTTTGTTTACATGCATTAAATTACGATAATTTTCTGAAGTCGTAAGAAAATGGGCGATATTTTCTTGTTTATGCAGGTTGTTCACCACCACAGAGCTCAGAAGCTGCCCTTATTCTGCATATAGCGATGCAGTTAATATTGTTTGCTGCTCTAGCATCGCTCGATAAGGGCACAAACGACGATACACGGGGAGTCTATAGTTTGGCAGTTGCACCCGGCATAAAAACAATGTCCAGGCGTAACAAACAAGTCTGTTATTTCTACAAGTGGAGTGCACTGCTGCCTTGTGCTTGGAACGGTGATTTTCTGAGGCGATACGTGGAAGTCTCCACCCTCAACAGGCTTGAACTAGAGGTCTGCAACTCCAGTACGGTCAAGATAGCAATCTAAACTTCACAAATTTCACTCTTCTATTTCTGCTTTGAGCCACAAGGTTTGCTGCACATCAATTAAAGGGAGCATATAGGTTTCTGAACAGGTGTTTTTTTTGCATTAGTATTGACCAGTGAACCAATAATCTTCATGCTACAACTAATGTTTGAAGTCTGTCTGGAGCTAGACACGAAGCCATTGATGTGAGAAATGGTGCCATGGTTCTCATGTCCCTCCCTGAGCTAGGTTGGAATTTGTACCTTGCCATGTTATCATTTTTAATATTGGCTTGCATTTTGGGGTCTGACCATGAATTTGACCTTCCAACTGAGAAGGCTGTGCGTGACAGTCTTGGTAGAAAAAAACATATGGTAAACACGCTTTAGATGGCTGTAAGGTCCCTTCTTTTCAAATCTGCTGTTGTCCTTGTTGAGCATGAAGCTGAAGCTGCACAAGTGTATACTAACTTCAGAGCTTAATTGGAGGGCCATCTTCACATTGGTTATGCTTCCCTCTTCAAGCAACATCACTGTGTGATCAGTAAGCCGTTACTCAGCCATTAATTATTTTTTTTAAATTTTAGTTTACAAGACGGTGTGTGGTGTCAATGGCCCTCTGGTGATCTTGGACGAAGTCAAGGTAAGTTTAACAGTTTTTTTGCATAGTCACCAGCAACTGAAAGATGCAGAGAGATGAATGTGGCAGGAGAAAATTCAGGGGAAGTCAGCTTTAACAATTTATAGGTAACAAAAGCAAAAACAGAAAAGTTCCTCTGATAATTCAAGGGAGAGTGCCCTGCTGTTTGAGACGAGGACGGGAGTCTTGAGGACAAAAACGTATGTGTTTTAATTTGAAGACATATACAATGTGCTCAATATATAAACGACTGAAATAATTGAGCATGTGATTCTAAAGTGTAAGGAGCTTAGTCTTACTCTTCCCGAAGGGTCGACGGACGTACCGGTGGCCCTGGGTTTCGCAGAAAAAGATGGAAGGGTGGACTATTCAAGAGTAGAGGCAACGAAGAGGAGGTTTGAGTGCTGGTGAAAATGATGTAGGGAAAATTTAACTAAGTACAGCTAATTAGCACAACTGGGGGACAGGCGGGGCAGAGGAAGATTGGGACTCCCTTCCGCTTGGCTTTGGCCCAAAAGTCTCAACCCTTTCCCCCAGTGGATCTGGTGTTAGGCGACGCTGGCAAGGTCTGACCAGAGGAAAATAGACGACTCCCTCGTGGGGGGTGGTGTTGGTTTAGTTTTTTTTTTACCGGTCCCCCAAAGGTCTGCTTGGCAATCGCCTTCATGGCCTGGTGATAGTAACAGAAACGCATTGGCTTGGAAGGGGGAAAAGGGGAAATCGGGTTTTTGTTTTGACACTAGGTGGTGCAAGCTACTCCTGTTAGAAGGGGTGCAGCCGTTCTATATTCATCTCCCAATTTTAAGTGCTTGTTGACAATGTGGAGTAACTAAGATGCTCATGTTTCTTAGCTGTTATTTTGCATGTAGAAACAAATTCTGTTTTATTTTATGTTGAGACTAATATGGCCCCCACCCTGCAACCAAAACCTTTATTTTGTCTTTTGATTTTCTTTAGTTCCCAAAGTATGCAGAGATTGTGCACCTTGTGCTGGCTGATGGCGCTACAAGGACAGGACAAGTCCTGGAAGTCAGCGGATCCAAAGCTGTGGTGCAGGTGCGATGGCAATTGCATGCTTTGTTGTAACTCTGAGACCATGTTGGCTTGCCCCCCAATGTTACACTTGATTTTCCCAGGTGTTTGAGGGTACATCTGGCATCGATGCCAAGAACACAGTGTGCGAGTTCACAGGTGACATCCTGCGAATTCCTGTCTCGGAAGACATGTTGGGTATGTCCTCCGACAGAGACGTGTAGTCTGCTTAGGTACATGAATTTTTCACTTTAGGTCGCGTCTTTAATGGCTCCGGAAAGCCAATTGATAAAGGTCCTCCAGTGCTGGCAGAAGACTTCTTGGACATCCAGGGTATGTCCTTAGTTTTTGCTTTCAAAGTGTTTACTTTTACTGTATCACAATACTGCTTGTTCTACAGGACAGCCGATCAACCCGTGGGCCCGTATCTACCCTGAGGAGATGATCCAGACCGGTATCTCTGCAATAGATGTTATGAACAGTATTGCTCGTGGCCAGAAGATCCCTATTTTCTCTGCTGCTGGTCTGCCGCACAACGAAGTATGCACTTCAGCTAAATATTAACTTGTAGCAAGTCAATCATTATACTAATGTGTGGTTAAACACGTGTATAGATTGCTGCTCAGATCTGTCGCCAAGGTGGCCTTGTCAAGCTGCCTGGAAAAAGTGTCCTCGACACATCTGACGACAACTTTGCCATCGTGTTTGCTGCTATGGGTGTAAGTTGTCTTCCTTTCTTCATAGATGGCACGTGCCTTCACTTAGTTCGAAAGATGTGGCTCATGTTTGGCATTTACCTTTCTATCCAGCCTATATCTAGTGGCTTATCCTATCACTTCAGAGGACATTTTGAGAATTTTCTTTCACCACTATTCGCGACTCCAGCAGGCCATGAGAACTCGCTGGTCAGGCAAAATGACGGACGAAAGGAGGTCATTTTCGTCGTTCAGCACGCAGAGCACCATAAATTCCTTGCACGGCAGCGTAAAATCGGTGTTATATATATGAAAGCAAAACAATTTTTCAACGGTTAAAATTTTCTAGTTGGTGCGTAGGAATGACACGGCGTAAGGATTAAAAAAAATTACCGGAAACAATGTTTGTTTCTGTGCTGCCTAGGAGAACCAAGCAGCGATAGTAGACAGACAGAGTCGAAACGACTTCCTCTCTCGAGCTTCTCGGCGTTGCCGCATCGATTTTGCTGGAGTCACCAATACCTCCTATCGCATTGCACAGTCTATTGGGCTGTCTCAGGTGCTCATCTAATATAGATTTTGCTTATGCCAATAAACCTTTGGCTCTGGTGTTTGTAGTTTGTAGCACTAGGGGAACATTTGTTCTCAAATGTTGGCTATAGAGAGGCCTGGTATGGAGGCATTCCTGCCATGTCTCCCTGGATTAGGGCTGCAAGCCCTCGAAGTATAATTCTTTTTCTGTTATGTTTCTCCTTTTGTGCCTTCCTCCTCCTACCTCTTTAACAGTCACTTCTGTTGGGCTGAGGGTCAGAAAAGGATCACATTATGTGTAATGTTCTTGCAGGTGAACATGGAAACTGCACGGTTTTTCAAGCAAGACTTTGAAGAAAATGGTTCCATGGAGAATGTGTGCCTGTTCTTGAACTTGGCCAACGATCCCACGTGAGCCACTCACTTTTATGGAATCTGCTTCGTGAATAAGGTTTGCTAGTCTATCACTATTTGGGCTTAAACTTCATCACTATTGCATCAATATTACGGCTTGAAATCAGTTTAGTTCCATATTTGATTGATGAACTTGTCATTTAACTGGTGCATTGACTTCCTTGTGGACATTGAGCAACTATTGAAATTAGAAAAATCTTTGGTGCATGTGCCACAAATATTTAACTGATTACTTTGGTTCAGCATACATTTTCTTTATGAATAACTTGTTAATGGGCCATCATGGTTTTGTCTGCTGTTGGTATTCAATAACTCACTTTAAAAATGGCTGAAGATGGGGTTGGAAAATAAAATTGGATGAAGCTCTCTTGGTGGTATTTATTTTACCAAGTGACAACTGGTCTAGCTCCAGCTTGTACAACTCACCGAGCATAAAACCTATGTGCCGAGAGACTGAGGGAGAGGAGACGAGATCGTGTGGGAACGTCAGAATGCCGAGCTCTGGTTGGAATGATAAGCGGGTAGACCTAAAACTAGCAGCCTTCATCTCTACTGCACTCGTTGAACATATTAGAACGCCGGCGTTGGCTCTCGCATTCGACGAGTCCAGTAAAGACAAACACAGCTAGCTTAAGGTCTGGCCAGTAATCATTGACACCAGAGCTCGGCATTCTGACGTCCCCGCACGCTCTCGTCTCCTCACTCCTCCCTCCGTTTCTCGGCGCATGTGTAAGCTTCCAATGAATGCAGTACTAAACAAGGTTTTCTCGTTGGCAGCATTGTGCACTGCGAACGAACCGACCCCAGTACTCCCAAAAGGCGAAGCTTCAGTGCCTTGGGAGTTGATCCGCAAAATCTTTCAACAGACTCTGGCACTTTGGTTGGTCTTTCCCAGGATTGAGAGGATCATCACACCCCGGCTGGCACTGACCACTGCAGAGTTCCTGGCCTACCAGTGTGAGAAACACGTGCTTGTGATCCTCACGGACATGTCCTCCTACGCCGAAGCCCTGCGAGAAGTGTCTGCCGCTCGCGAAGAGGTGCCCGGCCGCCGGGGCTTCCCCGGCTACATGTACACGGACTTGGCAACCATCTACGAGCGGGCGGGCCGCGTGGAAGGCCGCAACGGCTCCATCACTCAGATCCCCATCCTGACGATGCCCAACGATGACATCACTCACCCGATTCCCGACTTGACCGGTTACATCACGGAGGGCCAGGTGTATGTTGACAGACAGCTCCACAACAGACAGGTACGTCTAGCCCCTTGTCCCTGCTGAGGTAACCGGATGTGAAAGGAGCAGCGCGGATCTTTGATGTGGTCGTGGTGCCAGCAATGTGTGCCTTCTGCCGACGCCTTGCTTCTGCTATTGCTTCTGCTATCATCAAGCGATTTCATATTATAAACGACAGACCTACCATGCACCACAACTTTGGTGGGGCGGATCATCCCCCTAGCTTCCTCCATTCCCCGTTTTCAAAGGTAGTGAATCGGGGGAATATGGGCGGCTAAGGAAGAGATGGCGTTGAAGAAAACATTGGTCATTGTGCACCCGTGCGGCGTTGTCACCGTTGTTCCCTCAGATAAGGAAAACATGTCTTTGGAGTGGAGGACGGCGGAGAGAACTCCAAAAGTGTTGTATGGCAGCCTTTGTAAGAAGTCAGACAGTCAATCTCCACAGTAGAGCACGGACCCGGGCCAGCCCGAAAACCCGAGCCCGGCCCGCCCCGCGGGCCGTGCTCGGGCCGGGTAGCACGCATTTTCTCGGGGCCGGGCTCGGGCTCGGGCTTGAACAAAATATTTTCCAGGCCGGCCCGGGCTGTAGCTGAGTAGTCGTGTGCCACAAATTTTAAATTGTTGATAACAAAAATGGTGCTCATTTATCTTCTCGGTTCAATGAAAACAAACAAGCGAAATGCAAAACTGCTAGGCTGCTGTTAAAAAAAAAAAAAGACGTCTTGAACTTGGAAAGCTTTCACGTGGATAAAAGGAAACCTATAGATTCCTCCACCATAGCGGGAAAGTGCGGTCAAGAAACCGAGGGCACTCCAGTCGCAGGGTACAACATGAGTGTATTTTTCCTCTGCGTTTCAAACTGAACACAAGAAAAACAATGTGAGCTTGGTTTTGCTCTTGTGCAGGGAGCCTTACTATGCCGCCAAAGATAAGCTAACTAGATATTTTTATGCTTATACAGCTTTTTGAATATGCACTAGCGTGATTCTGATTATTTCTTCACAAAAACATGTAGAGAGGAAAGTTCTCTGAAACGAATCGAACAACGAAAAGCCAGATATCTCTTCAAGAAATGCATAAATAAAGAATACGGCATTTTTTATATTCTCGAAAATGCACAAAGTCGGGATATTTATGTCAAAAAATCTCGATCCAAGTCCAAAAGAAATTTAAATCAAATATGCTCGCTTTATGCTTAGACAGTCTTTAGGTTAAAGCCTGCAAACTTTTTTGGGCTCATGAATATAAACTGTCGGGCTCGGGCTGGACTCAGGCTTATATTTAAAACATTTTTGTTGGGCTCGGGCCGGGCTCGAACTTCCGTCTAAAAATTCTGCCGAGCCCGGGCCGGGCCCGGGCTATGTCTCTTCCGGGCCGGGTCGGGCCGGGCCTAGAAATTAAATATTCTGTCGAGCCCGGGTCGTGGCTCTGCCGGGCCGGGTCGGGCCGGGCCTAGAAAATCCGGCCCGTGCAGGGCTCTACTCCACAGTGCTGTTTTTCTAGAAACTTGGTCTTGGGATTTGGCTGTATTATTAAACAGGGTTTCAGTGAGTGCCTACCAGTGGTGTCGGAAGTGTTCTTGAGAAAGGAGGGATTTCCTCGCCTTCCCCCAAATTGTTTACTATAAATGTCTGAAATCTGCCCCCTCTGTTCAGATACAACTGCTGCCAGCTTTCAACTGAGTGTCTAATCGAAACCACTATGTACTGTTTGTCGACGGAAGTTTGCATATAGTGCAGTGTCCTCCGCATTTCCCATCAGTTCATTCTAAAACGCAAGTTGCTATTGAGACCAGCGAAACGGGCAGAGAAGGGATGCATATTTTACCAAAGGTTATATGACTTGTTCTAAACAAACAAGGCCAACTCGGTCCATAATGTGCGCTCATTTTTGGCTTGCTCGGCTGTCGGTATTGCAACTGCAAGCTGCTTTGACAAAACTCTTTACGTTCAGGTCTTGCAGGTGCTATGGAATCTACCACACTCCAAATATGTGCAGCAATTTACATTTTATGGTATTTTGTCGCGCAGGTTTATCCCCCTATCAACGTGCTGCCCTCTCTGTCTCGTCTGATGAAGTCCGCCATTGGCGAAGGCATGACGAGGAAGGACCATGCCGACGTCTCGAACCAGCTGGCAAGTACCGCTTCTGTTGGGCAGTTTGACGGGATGCTCTAACCACTCAAACACTGCGAGGGTGGACTCTGAATAAGAGGGGTTTATGTGCAGTATGCCTGCTATGCCATCGGGAAGGACGTGCAGGCAATGAAGGCTGTTGTTGGTGAAGAAGCCCTGAGCCCCGAGGATCTGCTGTTCCTCGAATTCCTGGGGAAGTTTGAGAAGAACTTCATCTCTCAAGGTGAGCAGGACTGTCATTCATGGGGACGTCCTACTTGCACATTTGATGCAGTGTGGCTTCTCGGGATCTTTCAGTTATGGAAGTCGGAGTTTTATATTGTCTGTGCTTAATTATCTTTTTTTTTTGGTGGGATATCTTTTATCAAAATGTTTTCTGTGCCTCAGCACTAAAGCTTAGCAGTAATGTTTGCCCTCCCCTTTTTCTGATCTTTAATAATAACATGCATGGAATTGTATCCAGTATTAGGTTGCAAGCCGACGATTGTATTTTATAGTGAAGTGTCTGACGACGTCGTTCAGGTCCTACCGAGATTCAAATAAGGGAACAGAGTGGTGTGATAAATGCAAAAAGGTATCCAAATGTGTCCATGTTTGATTCTCTAGAAAACATAAATTTGTTTCTGCAGTTTTTAAACTAAACAATCGTCCTTCGGTACTTAGGACTGTGGCAATATATCTCGGGGTTCACCTAACCGCTGATTTAAGATGGAATAATCACGCGAAGCAATTGTGCTCCTAGGCCAGCGGCATGCTGCATTTTTTGCATTGCAATTTCTGAAAAAGTTTCCGCTCACTTGAAACAAACCCTCTACTTTAACGGCATCCTCCCAATTCTGGACTGTGCCGAAACAATTCAGAATCTGACTGCGAGATATGTGCTAAATAACGAATTTCACGGTAGTCTCTCTCAAAGCTCCAGCTCGGATGGAAACCTTTACAACCAAGACTAAAGTGCCTCAGTCTCAAGTTTATGCATAATCTCTATTACGGTAGCATCGGGATAGGTAAATGATACCTATTGGCACCTTGTCATGTTTCTCTTCGAACCAGCAATAAAAGAAGATTCAAGAATTTTTCACACATACCGACATTCTAAAATGTTCATTTTTCTCTCAAACAATGACTGGAACGTGCTGCCAGACTCACTTGTAGTGCTTGCTAACGTTCAATCCTTTTTTGATAAAATCCTGTTATTGTAGCCGGTTTTGACAGCTACTTTTGTTTGTCCTGTGGTTGCTGTTGATCGTGTTCTCATATTATTGTAGTATATTCGCACATTTCTCCTGTATTTCTTTTTTTTTTGCTGGCTCTGCTGTATGTTTGCTTTTGTATAATTTCCGTCCCCCCTACTGTAATGCCCACCGGGCGATGTAGGTACCAAATAAACGTCTAATGCTTGCAATGTCATGAACATGCTGTCGCAGCTCTTAATGCACATACGAAATGCTGTAACTTAAAAAAGGATTTTTGTTGTGAATAGCATTTTAGATTTGTTTATATATGAGAGTGCGATGCGAGCTGTTGACCAGTAATGTCCGCTGGCGTCGCCTCTGCAAGAGCGGTCTCGTATCGAGCACCAATGAGAATGTTTGCCCATTCTGCAACTTGCTGGGCACTTGCTGCGCTTCTACAAGAGGCATGCGCCTCTGTAGGAGTGCAGTGTCATCCAATGTTGCAAATCGGTCGTGAGGGTGCGGTCCTGGTTTTGTGGTTGTGGTCATGGAAGGTGCCATTACACTGTTTTTCTGTCTTCAAATGCGGATGGTCTTTTCTTTGGCCTTCTGCCAACTCCTTGCCCCTTGCGAGAGCAACACAAGGGCTTTTAAGGGACTTTAGGTACCGACACCATTTCCAAAAAATGGCGCGCACACCCAAAAGGAGGGGTGGGTTCGATGCATGTGCAGTGGTGATGACGCAGTTTCTTTTGGGTATGCAAGGCGCTTGCAAACACCATTCTAAGTCTAATGGTTTCTGACCAAATTAGGACAGACTTTCTTTTTTGTAGTGAAATCACAGAACTACCTTGAAAGCATTAATACCCATCTGATTTAGTAGTACTAGGTGGGGTTCCAGTTAAGGGCACACAATGCACACACTCTGGTTTGGAGGAGGTAACTGGAATGCCTTTCTGTGCAGGGAGCTACGAGAACCGGACCATATTCGAGTCTCTGGACATTGGCTGGCAGTTGCTGCGCATCTTCCCCAAGGAGATGCTCAAGCGAATCCCCCAAGCTCTGCTCCAGGAGTTTTACCCCCGCGACGGCAGGCAAGGCGCAGATGCCAAGCAGTAGCCCCTCGACGCACCAAAAGTTGTTGTGCTTCTGGCACCCTTCGGCATTCCCAGTTTTCAAGTGCATGTCCTCTTGTCCAAAGCGATAATCCTGGTCAGTGGTGCCGTCGTGCATACCCGTGTATGCAAGTAACCTTGTCTCTACGAGCTGTTGTAAGATGGGGCTTGTCCACGTTCCAAGTCTAGTTTCGAGTGGTAGCAGCGGTATCTAGCGGAGCTGTCCATGTGAACTAGCAGTTGTTTTAGGCCGCTGCTCCCTTGGGAGGAGTGGCGGCATCTTCCTGTCAAATGTTTTTTGCCGAAAGAGTTTCAGGCCTTTTTGTAACCCAGATTCAAGGTTGTCCAAAAGTAGTGTTTTATTTAAGTTGATACAGAATAAATGGTTGCAATGAATGCGGCTCCCTTGGTTTTTGTTTCCCAACTGAATTTGGCCAGATATTAAGGATGGGTATAGGTACAGTTCCATGCCATTGGGGTGAAACAAACTGACCTTTGGATGTTTCTTGTATTAATATTTCGAATCTAAATTGAAATAAAAATCCTTTCGTGAATGTTGTGTTTGGATGGTTAAAAATACTATTTTATTCCCTTATGTTAGGTGGTGTTAATTTTTTATGTAGTTAAACAACAGTGGTTGCAGGCTTTCCTGTCTGTGAAAACAGTTGTGATAGCACAGGCAGGGCTGTAACCGGGAGGGGGGGGGGGGGGGGGGGGGGGGGAATCAAACCCTCCCCCCCCCCCCCCAAATTTTTTTCTAGGTATGGCCCTGGTCGGTGCACTTGCAGCCAGCTGATTTTAATCTCCACCTCTGCGCACGCGCAGTGGCGCCGGTCGGCTACCGGGTACCAAACCGGGACCGGTTCTCTGGTTTGCTGTAACTCTCCATTATATGACACTGATGCACATGATTCATAGGCAAAAATAAGACAATAGACACTTTCAAAATGGCCGCCGTTGTCCCCGAAAACCCCCCCCAAAATTTTTTTCTGGGTACGGCCCTGAGCACAGGTGCAATATTGTTGAGGTTACAACTAGACAAATGAAGTCTCAAAATACCTTGAGCTCAAAAGATTAGGACTGTATTTGAAAGGCCCTGCTGTGTCATGGCAAGGTTTGTACTGGAGCTCTGTGTAGGCAGAGCTCCACAGGAATGTTAGGGAATTGCCATTGCAATAGAGGCAAGATTCTTAGTATTGGCCCCATACACTGCCAAAAAACATGGGATGGGGTATGCATGCATACTGCATAAATATTTTTTTTTTTCGAGTTAATTGCAACATTAGACTGATGAAAATATAATTGTTTCCAGTAAGTTTGGAAAACTTTAAAAACATCTAGTTTAATGGGGCTGCGTTTTGGGCAACATGTCTCATACTAAGAAACCATTGCAACAAAGCGTATCACTTCCACCTCTGCTCTGTCCAGCCCTTCCTTCACAAAACCTCGAATTTGCATCATAATTTTTTTAAATAAATTTTTAGCTTTTATACTATATACGCAAGACTTATTTTGTTTCATGGGGCCTGAAGCCATCTATCAAAACTACTCGAGATGGACACAAAGCAAGTACAAGAACAGCTTGCTGAAATCTCATAGAAGAGGCCAACATTTAAATGCCACTTTTCTTAGGTACGAGAAGTTCAGGGCCAGCTTGCTAGCAACGGTATCTACAGCCTGGATTGCACTAGCACTTGAGATTCTGCTTCATGTGTCACTGCACTCGTGCACTAGTTTTGGCGGTGCTTTCTTACACATTTTTGGCTAAGACATGCTTCTACAAAGTCAGCTTGGGGTCTAAAACAAGTGCAAGCATTGACCGTCTCAAGTGCTGCGACATATTTTTACGAAGCGCAGATATTGTGTCCTACCTAAATCGTATGCAGCGCATCATGAAATGCCATACACCTGCGAAGGAGAAAACATTTTTCACAGAGCCTTGAGCATGTTTATTAGCTATAAAAGAAAAAAGATAACCTGAAATTGGGCACAGAGAGTACATATCTGCAAGGTACTACGCAGATGATTACAATCTGGGTGTATCCATGCTTCTTGCAAGAATGCTGGGGTACAGTGAGGCACGTAGCCAGAGGGGGCCCATGGCCCCCCCCCCCCCCCCCCCCCACCCCTCCCCCCCACCAAAATAAATCTTCCATTTTGCTGGGGCCTCCTCTCCCTCACACAACATTTTGTCATTGATGCCCCCCCCCCCCCCGAATCAAAATCCTGGCTACGTGCCCAGATACAGTAGCACAAAGGCTCTCTTCATAGTAATAGTTTAATAAAAGTCTTGTTATGGTAAAGGGTTTTCCAGATTTTGCAGAAAGTCTAACCAGAGGGAAAAATTACAAAGGAGCCATTACCAATAATAAAATGTCAACATGTTTTAAACATTTGAAAGCATCATTCATTTCTTTTAGCTCATAAATTCCCACTCTAATTAACCCATCAGCGTCGGGGGTTAAACCCTGTTCAAGACTCAAACTCAATTTCAATAAAAGCGGTCTCGCTGCTTTCATACCAGTTAAAGGGCAACTCCAGTCAATGTTTTTGAATTTGGGATTACAACTTTTTTCAGGTCAAGCAATGCCCCTGAATACAAGCTATAATTTTTTTTTGGTTCGATACTGTGTGGTTTTATAAATATCACGGCTCAGTTTGGTTTTGGCCGTCCCTGGCAAAACAAACCATCTGCTAAAGGGATGGTAACACTGATCAGTCGTACAGCTGTAACGTGACGTCACAAGAGTATTGCGGTACGCGGTACAACCAATCGACCACAACTCCACCGCAACGTGATGTCACAAGGGTGCTGCGCCACTGCACCTTGACCAAAAGCTAACTTTCTTGCCGCCCGCTCAAGAGCAGCTGGTCGCATCTTTAAATTTGGTTTAGTGGATATGCGGCTTCACTTTGATGCAATATTTCGGCCGTCATCATATTTCATGCCACAAAAGCGATACCAGTTAATTTATTTTGGTTTCATTTTCGCACAAAAGCACAAAATTAAATGCAGACAGCATTGTCCATGGTGGAGATGCTTTTTGACAGGACCTTGTCACATCAGACAGTACAATCTGTGGTTTCTATTTTTGGCCACCCTTTTATTGAAACTCTGGAGGAATTGCAAAGCCTGCACGATGGGAAGTTTTTTTCTTGTGCTACAAATCTAAACTACATGTGCTTTCAAAACTAGCCCATTTCAAATAGAATCCTTACATACGTCTTCATCGACATCCATAGCCGCGGTATGCACAACTGGACAAAGACGAATAATTAGACCCTGAAGTTTGTTTATTGGAGTCTTGGAACAGTATTCTAGTGAAACTATGCATCACAATAAAACACAGTAGAGTGTGGGCCCCTCTACACAAGAATGTCCTACACAATTGGAACAGATTCTTTAGGCCATGACGCAGATGGAGGACGGCAGAGTTGGAGACTCCATGAACAAGCTGCAGATGAGGCACCAAATGCCTGGAGTCTGTTTATTTTCCTGTTTTGAGGGCAAATAGAGCGCGACTATTCCTTTACAATTTGGTCATCTATTTTGCAGGCGCTGGTGCCGCAGGCTTCTTTCGTGCCCAGAAGTATAGCGCTATCAGGCCAAGGCCAGCATAGGTAACCTTTGCAATCTGCAAGAAACAAAATGCTTATAAACACCAGGCATGCAATCACACATCAGATGACTGTATAGCAACCATTTGCTCTGAATTGGGTGGAAGCCTTTCCAGCTAAACACGCCCCGCTAGTTTGACACCACAGCATGTTCGAGAAATTCCAAAATTATGAAAGTAGCAGGGGTTCAACAGCTACCAAGTCTCTTACGGAAACTTTGGCTACCTGGGAGAGTATGTTCACAATTGTTCAGTCACTGCAGCCTCTTTATACCCTTGTCAGTCAAAACTACACAAACCATACTGAGTGATGGAAGCGACGTTTGACCAGTTGTAGAAGTTCTTGTAGCAGACGAAATGTTAATTCGGTGCAGTCACCAATGATTTCGAGCAGATGGCAACTTATGTCAGCATGTCGCTCGAAAATAAAAGAATTGCTGCATCACTAAATAGAGTTCTTGAAAGTAGCCCATCTTTGATGATGACTGAGGGTGCATAATTGATATTGAAACTTGTTGCTGATTACCTTTAGTAATAATAATACACAAAAATAATCAAAGGAAAACATGATTTTTCTTTAAAAATAAGGTTCAGGTCAAAGTAGGTACTATTTAGAATAAATAAATATATATATATATATACCAAAGAATACCACACATCCGCCCATACCACATTAAGTGCCCATTACCAAATTTGTAAGATCTGAGAAAATACAAACAGGACTTTTATATGTAAAATTGATAACCGGACAAGTGCCCATCCCCCACTTTTTTGTGATTATCTCCAAAGTTTGAGTGGGCGGTTGCCCGGTATTTTACGGTATATATATACATATAAAGGGTGGTCCAAGTCGCCAGGCTTGATCTAAAATGAACCGTAACAATCGACACCTGCACGTAGCAATCTAAACTTTTTCTCAAAGGTGTATTTCACAGGTCGGTCTTTTCTTGTAAAATTACAAAGCGTAGCTCTCGTTATGTAAAAAATAAGGCCAAGAAACTTGCCAGGGTCTACAGCGGACAGCGATGCAGACGACTGAGGCCCAGTAGCGGGGTGTGTTTGGCTTTCGTATTGATAGATGGCGCTACCTCCTTATTGCAACGGCTCGCGACCACCGTGGTTATTAAAATGAACATAATCTTTTTTTTAAAATGTACCTTCAGTGAAAGAAATTAATGCAAACAATAAAAGCAAAACTTAAAAAAAAAAAAAAAAAAAAACGCGTCTGCATAACGACGGCGCTTTTGCTGCCAACCGATTTCGTCTGCGTGTCGTCTGCTTTCTTTCGCTGGTTGGCTGCACCTTCGGACGCTGCTCCCGATGCCATCTATCAATACGAACGCCAAACACACCCCGCTACTGGACTTGGTCGTCTGGGTCACCGCCCGCCATGGATTCTGGCAAGTTTCTTGGCCCTATTTTTTTAGAGAAAGGGAACTATGCTTTGTAATTTTACAAGAAAAAACCAACCTGTGAAATACACCTTTGACGAGAAGTTTAGATTGCTACAAGCAGGCGTCGATTTTTCGGTTTCATTTGGATTCAGGCAACGAGTGGCAGTCATTTTTTCTTTTGCTTCAAATTTTTATATTTCGTGGCGCATGTTCCAAGAATAACAATCCTTTTTATTTTAATGTCCTGACATGTTTAGTTTCTGAAAAAAAAAAAAAAAAATCTCAAAGAAGCGGGAAAGAACGATGAGGTTTTGACGATTGTTGTGTCTGGCGTTTTTGAATCACTCTCAATCTCAAAGTATTCAAAAGAGAGTGTCTATATTTTTTAGTGTGATATATATGCCAGTAGGTAAAACGACATTATAACTACTATTTATTATTCGTCGCTCCAATCTTTGTAAAAATCCCCAAAAATGCCTCCGCGAACAACTGTGACCTAAATTGCAGATTTTGTTTTGAGTCGACTATGTTTAGTATCGCTTTTAAAATAATATCACGTGTAGAACCTTTCATTGCCTTCCAAATTAAGTGAAGTTTGTGTTTTTATCATGTACGAGTACTGAGAAATAAATTATGAAACAGAGAGGGTTTTCACTTTTCATTCAATTTCAGCACGCTGTATAAAAAAAAAAAACATCTTAAATTTTTTTTCTTTTTCTCGCGTCACGTTCTCTTCACACCCTTCTTTTAGCCAGAATAGAGGTATTTGCCTCTGTTTTGAGTTTTAAACCTCTAAATATGCTAAAAAAAAGAGCAAATGCCAATGGCGGGTGGGTTTTGACGATTTTCGTGTGTGGCATTTTTGAACCACTCTCAATCTCAAAAGTATTCAAAAGAAAGCTTCTATATTTATTTTTTATTGTGATCTGAAAACCACCCACAAATATTATGAAAACCTACTCTCGCGCTTTAAAAGGGACACTGCTGATTAGCGGCGTTGGAACCGGAGCGAAATCGAAGTTGACTGCTCTTGCAATCGACAGCTGCAAGGGAACTATCGTAAGATACCGAAGAAGCGCCCACTTCATTCAAGTGCCCACGATTAATGTGTTCCAAAGTTGGGAGTTCAGCAAATTATACGTTAAGCGCCCAATTTGACCAGACAAGCGCCCATGTCTAGATGAATCCAATTTTCAGTGAAAGTAAGGTGGGTGCTCCTCCGGTATTTTACGGTACCTCAACTACTGTATTTATTCAAAACATAGACCCACATTTTTTTTTCTCTTTTCTCAGAGCAGATTTTTTAAAATGAAAGATCAACCGATAATCAAGACCAAAGAATGTAGACCTGTAATAGTAATGAGCATTATTTGCATGCCTATCGCGCTAACCCAGGCGCTCACCCATGTGAGCCGCTGCTCCTAGCACTTCGGTGCAAAGCGGTGAACCTCGACGCGCGCACGCTGGTGAGAGGTGGCACGGAAGCACTGTGCAGGCATGTTAATCGAGTGATCTCATCAGGGAGTACAAGACCCTGGTTCTGTACTATCACGGTAGCTGCCATCCTATTATTTTCAAATCTTTTCTCACAACTTTTAGCTTTTGACGACGCCGACATCGCCTGAAAATTTAGACGATGTTGGCAATCAACTTGCCAGCGCATCAACCGGCCAATGCGGTCGACGAGCAATCTCAATACTTTGTTTCACCTTAATATAAAGTGCAGCCGACGCTATGAGCCAATGGGACCAACCAGACAGCATCAAATTGCGACATCATAGCATTTGACTATCTTTTTGTATGTGTCCTTTCATCAACTAACCCAATCAAGTGCAGCGGAGGTAACGCGACTTTTGCTTTTAGTATTTGTGCTCGTGGTTGTATCTGCTCAAGCCTACACGGTGAGTAGAGACGCTGCGAAATACACATTCTGTTCCATTTTACTTTCCTCCTACTTCACTAAATATCAGAGTCGACAAACAATAAAATATTTTTATTTTTTGCTTCGCTTAAGCATATCTTGGCGCGGGTGTGGCACAACTTTTAGCAAAAATTGCTTTTTGGCACAAGAGACTTTTGTTTGTGGTGCAATTGGACGCAAATGGCGTAGCACTTCCATCACTGTAAATATAGGTCAAGATATATATATATATATTTTTTTTTCCTTTCAGCATGGCTTTTCCAAATTAGGAGTCAGTCAACAATCATAACCAAAGATCACTTGTAATAGTAGTGAACCCGATTTCCGAACCTAAGGAGCTAACCGAAGTGTTCCACCACATCAGCAGCTACCCCTATAGTCGGTTACAGGTTAAGAAGGTAGCGGCCCATGCCCCTCAAAGGGAATCATATATCCCTCCGCCACCTCCGCATCCAATAGCGTCCCATCGTTTCCGTGACGTGCGGCCAACGCGCGAGAAGGGTCTTGCTTTGCCGTACATATTTCCTTTATCTTTCGACTTTGACTTAGCATTGTGGAAGCCATGAGAGGGAGATTAGTTTTCCCCCTCCGATGCAAGCAAATACGACTTTCGGGGGTTAGCTTCCCCCTCCAGTGGATACAACGGCTGCTTTCAGGGGCTCGGTTCCCCCTCCAATGAATACAAAGGTCGCTTTCTTAGAGTGGGATCGGAGACAAGTTGGAATCCATTGAAGCGGAACAAGGAGCGTTTCCAGTGAACTCTTCTTTCGACTGCGGAGAGATTTGAAACGGGCGCATCACGCTTGTGGGAGGAGCTTCTCCTACCTTCTTGACTTGTAACCGACTATAGTATGCCAGTGCAAAGCAGTGAAGCTTGACAAGCACACTGACGTGAAGCAGTGAAGACTGACGCAAGTGTGTGTGCCACAGCGAGAAGGCACGAGGCTGACGGAGACCCGCCTGTCTCATCACTAAAGCTGCCATCCCACCATTTTGGGAAGTGTCAACTTTTAAGCTCACTGCTCATGCTATCACTATGATGGCATAACTATGTCTGGAAGTTCAGACAATGACATGGCCAGCATGGCCAATGAGTTTTAATGTCCTGTACCAATTTCTCTCTCTTCTGTTTATAAACGAGGGTAAAGTGATATTAAAATATGTAAAATAAACTTCCGTAATTCATATCGTGCTCCCGCTACATTCAAGTGCCCACCTCCGGCTGGGCGTGAACTCAACGCCACTGGCATGAGCTTTCAGTAGATAGAAAAGTATTGTTACAAAAAATACCTTGGGGATGAAAATTAGCAACTCGATAGAATTTCAGGAGTCTTACAAACATAGACCCTTCATCGACAAAAACTTAATTATACCACCTCAGAAACGCTACAAGACAATAAGTTTCGTTGTGTGCACCTAGGCTAATCAGGTGCACATCCTTTCTCTCGGAAGGTTGTGAATTTTTCAAATGAATTTACACCTTAGAGAATAAAAGAAAATAACATTCCGAACTAACAGCCCCTTCCCTGGCAAATAGCGAGCACTCGCCGAGGGGATTCCTGTGCCCCTCGTGAGATGCAAGTGATGTCTCCGCGTGCCGCTTGTAGATCTGAAACCGGTGGAGCGCTCGCCAAGCGGCTCCAACCGACCAGTTACAAGCCTCGTTACGAGCTGTTCAAAGATCGGCGAAGCGATACAATACGGTGACGAGGTGTCAATGTTCCCGCCAAACAGTCGAGGTTGCGATCAAGATCTGTGAAAAGACACTCTTACTTGGGGGTATGCTTATTATTCTGTGGGAAGGGTATGTCAATCTGTTGCTTTATAAGCTCATCCAGCACAACGTTTATAAGTCGTTATACGTAGGGCTGGCGAGGCATCGGAGGGCGGTGGTGGTAGAGAGAACAGCCCGAACGGCGCCGTAGCAGCGGTGGGGGCGGCCGCACAGTGGAAATGCCAACGAGCAGAGCATCTACGTCTGCTGCATTGTGTGTGTGTGCCCTCCATGGCGTCACTAGGGGCAAGGGGAAGGGGACGGAGGGGGCAGGGTGACGGCGGGCCATCGCCCAAAGTGTCGCTGACTCTAGTGACGCCACTGAACCCTCCAGAGCCGTTGCTTGGTTGCTCCACCACCGAGATCGATATCTGAGTTCCAAATCTGTGATCCCTCGATATTTGCCAGGAGAAGGGGCTATAAAATTCTAGCTGGGGCAGTTTATCAACGGTAAGCACTACCTAGCCCAAGTCATTTCAACTACCTCTACGAGGCTTATTTCTCAATATACAGGTTTCAGCCATGCACAATATCGAACTCCTTGGAGAAGAGTGGCGGTGCAGGCAAGCTGGCAATGCACAATCCTACTTTACACTCAACGTGGGGGAAAAAAACAAAAACAAAAAAACATAAAAGGGGGCCTTGTGTGTAACCATGTTTCTACATTCCCTTCCTTCCTTTAATTCCCCTATGTCAGCATTCTAAGTACAATCATTGACCTCGTAGCTTGAAGAGGTTGCATTGAGTGTTCTCCACTTTTCCAGTTTTTTTTGTTTTGTTTTTTTTATTTTATGGTTCACTGTTTTAGTTTTTTGACTGCCCTTCAGTCAATTTTTTATTGTTTGTCCTCCCTCCCCTCCTCCGCCTCCTCCTCCTCTCTCCCCCCCTCCCTCCCTCCCTCCCTCCCTCCCCCTCCCCCCCCCCCCCCCCCCCCCCCCCCAATTGTGGTTTGGTTGAAAACATTGAAAGCAGCTCACATTGGCACGCCCTCGGTCAGTGAACGAATTGAAGTGCTTCGACAGTCCCTTGAACTGCGATTCATCGATCCCAGAGCCCCCGGCCATTCTGACTTCAGAGGTCTGCAAAAGAATCGCCACAGCTTAGAAGCGTGAGTCAGGTCCTCTGCGCAGCGCAAGAGCAGCAAATATACGGCGCGCGCTAACCACAATAAACCCATCGAAAAGATATAAACTCAATCGTGTCATTTTAATCGATTGCAACTGAGCAGATCCTACAAGGTGCTTGAACAAGAGCGGTCAACTGCCGGTACCATGCATGCACTGGGGTATCGTCCACTGTGACTACACAAAAACTCTCTATCTCCAATGTTTATCAAGCACAGTGATGCTGTTATGACTACAAGGTACAACGTCGAGATCCGTGTGAAAAATACAGCAGGCCATTGCGAGTAAAGTTTGAAGCGCTTTAGCTCTCCGTGTCACGTTGGCCGACCCGCTTTTTTTAGGCCTCTTAATTTCAGAGAGAAATCACAGAATGTTGAGTTAAAATCCGCAAACACGATCAATTGCATCTTCTTACGGGGTGTAAGCTCTGCAACCTTGCACTTTTGGATCAGCAGTCGCGGACCCTACCTTTGAAGAGACCGAAGATCAAAGAGGGTAAACGGAAGGTCAAGTCGCTCCTGGTCCGAAAGCACTCCGGAGAAGTTGTCCCTGCTGTGTCTCCCAGCCCCGGACATCACGTGCGCTTTATCACTTTTCTAGGCTCATGCTCGTGGCGCTATTAACCAGTTATCTTAAATAATGCTATACAATACATTTATATTTTGAAACGTAACATTTTTTTACAACACAGTGTACGCATTTAGTTTATTAATATTGTAAATCTATAGTCACGTGCGTGTCACGAAACTAGAAAATAAATATAGCCGCCTACAAAATGCCCGCGCACATTTGAATTCACTGTAGCCGTCGCGTTATGCGTTCGGCAGTTTTACCTGAAGTCTTATTCATAGTTTTCCATCCTGGATTGGCTCAATGTTCGAAAGTTTCTCTCATTTCGACTGCTTCAACAAGAAACATATGTAGACCAATGCATAATCCGAATAAAATTCCTCAAGCTTTATTTTGCACTCCATCAGCAGGTCAGCAGGGGAACACCAACGCGGTTCAGCCGATCTTGCGGTCGGTATGCTCCCAGACGGGCTTTCTCTTCTCCGCAAAGGCTGCGATCCCTTCCTGCGAATCCCTGTAGCGAAGATTATCTACCATCACTTTCTCCCCTTCCGCGTAAGCTTGAACTATGCTAAGCCGCATCTGCCGGTAGTAAAACCGCTTTCCCAGCGCCATGACGGCTCGGCTTTTCGACTTGATCGCTTCGACCACTTGCTCGGTCTCCTCCTGTAACGCGTCGGACGGGACCACTCTGCTGACCAAACCGCTGACCAGGGCCTCCCGAGCGCTGATCGGCCTTCCCGTGAGCAGCATATACGCAGACACCTTTTGCGGCACGCAGCGAGCCACGGGAATGCCCGGTGTCGAGCAGAAGAGACCGAACGAAGCTCCGGGAAGCGAAAAAGTCGCCTTGTCGGACGCCAGGGCGATATCGCAGGAGGCGACCAGCTGGCAGCCCGCGGCCGCGGCGAGTCCATCGACTTGTGCTATGACGGGGACGGGCAGTTTCTCGATCGCGGACATCACCTTGGTGCAAAGTGCGAAGATTTCCTCTTGTTGAGCCGTTCCCGATTCGATTTTGAGTTCTTTGAGGTCGTGTCCCGAGCTGAAGACGGGACCAGTGCTGGAAAGGACGATGCAACGCAGCGCGTCGTTTGTCTGGGCGCTTTCGAAGCATTCGTCCAGACGCTTCAACATCGCCAGCGAAAGCACGTTTCGCTTCTTCGGGTTGTTGAGGGTAATGTGGTGGGCGCCGTCTTCGTCATGAACGGAGACGAGATCGCTGCTACGAAGGTTGGCGCTGGTATGCAATGGTTTCGCCGATCTGCCCAGGCATGCTCGTGGCTTGACACGCAGCGCACGCAGGCCCCGTACGGTCCAATTGCAGGCCTGCATCACTATATTTTCAGGCTCTGTACAAATAAACAATGCAGTCTTTTTTTATATCGTGACACCCCCCAATAAAACAAGCACACAGCACCCGTAGGCCAGCAAGCCCAATGCTCGCAATCTACTACCTATCTACATCCGGCCAGCAAAGACTGCCCACCCCCACCGCGTCTTTGGCTTTGCTTGGCTTGGTTTGACCATAGAGTTATTACAATAATATGGGTTTGACGCCTGGCCAGGTTTACTAAACTTCCTTTTATTCTTTTATTGCTTTTTCACCGACGCAAAACTTGAGCAAAAATCTGAGTGCACACGACAAACGCGAGGTCCCCTAGAAGACGCCGACGTCGAGTGGCTCTGTTTGAATGTTTGGTCTTTTTCGACGCGACACCGCAACGCGCGTTTTTTGCTCAGTGTGAATAAATGTTCTGTTTGCCGCCAAGGGCGCCCTGGTCGGGGGAGCTTGATAGAGCTTGACCAGCTTGAGTACTTGAGTTATGTCCGCTCCTTTCGTTTGACATACAGTAGTGCATATTAAATTTGAATTATTAAAAGACCCTGGCAGTAAATTACAAAAACATCAGTCTTTGTTTTTGTTTGCTTCTTTTATTTTAAATTTAGCATTTCCGCGCAATTCGCCTTGATAAAAGAGAGAAAGCAACTCAAACCAAGGAGAGCGTTTTCAATTTAATAACCAACACATCCTAAACAAATTTTACTAATTATTTGCTAGTGCACATGCGCATGCGTTTTGTTGTCGCGTAGAGAAAAAAAAATGCGGGTTAAAGGTTGAGACGTTTGCAAACAAATAACGGTTTGGTCATAAACCACGTGACCTAATCGAGAAGTGATAAACTGTGGTTGGAAACACACCTAAATCTAGGCACTGGGCAGTAGAAGCAGTAGAAGCGGTAGCAGAAGGCGCGAAAGGCGAAACAGAAGTCGGACGTGTCGTTGGAGTTGTAGGTATGAGGGGGACCATCTTATTGTTCTCTGATGTTTACCACACCTGAGCTTGCTTATAAACAGTTGTCATGACTTCCAGGTGGTAGCAACTGCCCGCTCGAGTCACGTTCATCCCGTTAGCAGGAGCGCCCGTTTCGTTTTGGCGATATTCGGCCAGTCTTCCAATGTCCAAGCACACTGCTGCAAGCTCGTCGCTCAACTTCAACGCGATTTTCGACCCGTCTACAAGCGGGTGAGCTTAAAGTGACCTGCCAGGGTGATTGTAATAGGTGTGGGGTTGCGACACAGGTTCGGTCCGCCCTCGCTTGCGGCTGCTCGTCCTCTCCCTCGGGTGGATGCGCTTGAGAAACGAACGAACCGCGTATAGGCCTCCTCCGCTGAAGCTTTGAACAAACTAGCGCCCTCATTTTGGGTATACAAGCTCACCTGATTGAGCATAACCCTACTTAGGGCACGTTGGTCGAGCTTTTTCAATTCTATGTGGTGCTAAAGAGCGAAAAAACAACTTTGAACGCCAGAAATCGGCGAAACTCAACGTTGCAAGAGAATCAAAAGTGCCAAATTCATGACACCACCGCTAGGGCACGCGTCTCTTATCTCTCGGTGGTGACGTCACAACACCTGTGTCGCGACGCTTTAATTATTTTTTTTTTTTTAAGTCTATTTTGGAACGCGTGAAACGGCATCTCTTGGCTCACGCTCTCAGCGTCTTAGCTTTGGCGCGTTTGAATTTTTGTTCTGTCTTTGCATTTTCATCGTGATCTCGCGCTCCGCACCAGAGCAGGCACGCTTCTGCATGCGTGACGGTTTGAGACGCTAAAATTTGTACTACCCAAAACAAGTCCTAACAAGTCTTATTCGCAGGCTAGCACCCTCTGGGCAGCGCAGGAGCCCCATATGTCGTCACGTAATCAATCCGTTCGCGGATCAATCCGTTGTGTGAATTCGGCCATAACCGCTGAGCCTGTGGCGTACCAGGATTTTCGTATGAAGGGGGGGGGGGGGGGGGGGGAGGAGGAGGAGGAGGAGAGGAGGAGGAGGAGGAGGAGGAGGAGGAGGAGAGGAAGGAAGGAAGGAGGAGGAGGACGAGGAGGAGGAAGAAGAAGGGTGAGAGGAGTGATAACTGATCTGTGGCCGGGGGGGGGGGGGGGGGGGGGGGGGGGGGGGGGGGGGGGAGGGGAGGGAGGGGAGGGGGGGAGAGTGTACGGTGGCGGTTAAAGGGACACTGACAGGGTATTTATGCTTGTCGAGGTTTTTAGTTGTACGTGACATATGAAGAGCCCAATTACCCAGAACAGAATTTGCGGCTCGAAATTATCGATTTCTTTCCACCCGAAAAACCGCCGATCGAGAACTGGCCGGTTTGAGGCGCGCTCACTCTTTCCTGTGGTCACGGGCCGTTTTCTAAGGTTTTGACGCGACCACCAAATTTAATCAAAGTCGTGGGTCATTGAAGGCACACAGTCAATATTAAAAACATGAAACCCATTTTTTGTGGCTTCCAAAAAGCTGCGAATACGTTGATTGGAAAAAAAAAAGGTGGCACAGGACAACCGGAAGTATTCTGTGCATTCACTGCATAATTCTCAACAGGGCGTCATTTTGCATATTGTGGGATTAGCGGATGGCAGCGGACGACGGGCGTTGGACCTCTACTTCAGAACTGTTGTTCAGGGTACTGGCGAATTCTGTCTTCCTTCGAAAGAGAAATTTTGGACCGATCAAAAGGACTGATATTCATCCCGTACGACACGCCCGACCAGCAAGCCGATTGCACGAAGACGTCGCCGAGCCGTCGTCCCTTCTCGTGGCTGAAGACATCGCTCGCTCAAATGTCAAGCAGGAAGTGCGTACTTCGAGTTGAATACGCACGCGTACGGTTTCTTTACTAGGTGGGAATGTGGCCTATGCTTAGTGCTGCCCGACTTCAGGCTGGGAGTGCATGTATTGAAGTGAAAACGGCAGCTAACTTCCGACATACAGTCTACCGGCTCGATTACTACGCATGAAAGAGTACCTTCAGTAGCTCGGTGGAAAGACATGCAGCGGGCACGGGTTCGATCCCTGGTGTGGGTGTACCATTTTCTTTTTTTATTGTCAAGCATTTTGCGATGTTTACATTTCTTTTTTAACAATTATCATTGAAGAAAACAATTGTTGTGGACGATACGTTGCTGAACTAAATGGAATGGGATTTCATTTTTGACACCTGCGAACTCAGTGTAGTCACTTTCCACAAAAAGCAAGGAGCATATCAATCGGGTAGTGTCTGCTTTCCGAGCTTCGCGTAACTGTTCTACAGAAATTGCAGCCAGCCATTGATCCCGACCCGTTGATCTTTCGGAAACTTGTGCACTCTGCCGCACAATGCCACTTTCAGATGGAGGACATCTGAGGCAGCTCTTCATGCAACATCTTGGGAGTATTCTTTTCGTAGCCAATCACGGAAATTCACCAGGGGCACTCACTACTAATTGCCAACACTTAAACGTACAAAACAACTCATCTTGAAGTACAGAACCGCGAGCAAAACAAACTAACTGCAAAGGAATCGCACGGCGAACGGATTCAGGAAGGCATTTCGTCTGCTACGTGCACAGAAAAAAAAAAAAAAGACCCGCACGGTTGGGTGTAGCCACGTGACTTCCTCCACTCACTCTATCCTCTCCACTTCTGCGTGCAGTGCGGGAGTTTCAGTTTTGAGCAGTTGCATTTTTCGGCTTTATTAAAAAAATATGTGACTCTGTAGCAAAATATTAATTGGGTAGTATTCCGACACCATAATGAATCGCCTGACAAAAAAGGAAAAACATTTTTTGGGGGGTGTCAGTGTCCCTTTAAGAATGCTATGCAAATTTTAGTGTTTATTTATTTACGAGTAATTATGCGGAGCGCAAGTTGCTTGTGATACGGGGGTTGCGATGATGTCAGAACGCCGAGCTCTTACTGGCTGATTGAAAAAAATAGTGGTTAGACCTCGAGGCATCTTTCATTGAGGTCTACCCACTATCCTTCAACCCAAAGCCAGTCAGAACTTGCCATCGTTCTGATGTCACCGCAGCCCCTGCGCGAGAAGCAGACGACTTGATCTCTGCATAGACCTTTCCAGCGGCAGTCTCGAACAAAGTGGTTTACAGTGCGCGTCCCTGGTTTTGAGAGTGTACATCAGTGTTGCCCGACTGCACTGGGCTGGGGGGTTTCTTGACAGTGGGCTGTGGCAGCTTGCGTAGGCACGATTCCGGACACTGGTGGCGGCTAAATTGCCGCGTTTTATTTTTTAGTTTATGCTCTATGGCAAATAGCACTTCAGGATTTTAAAGAGATACTACAACGAAATTTTGGCGCTTATTTCTTGGTCTATTCATGTTCAGTGGAGCATTATCACATCAAACACACCAATCTCTCGTTGAAAAAGATGGGAAAAGGAATTTTAAACCAAATTGAACGATTAGCAAAGAGCACCTGTTGTATATCTCTAGGGTGTGTATTTTCCGGTTTTAACCGAAAAACACCGATAAACATCCGTCGGTGACGAAAATACAAAATCGGTTAAAACCGAAAAACACCGGTGGTTGGATATTTTCGTCCTGGTTAACCGAAAAAACACCGACCTAGCGAAACCCTTTCCCCGTAGAGGTTCGTCAAACGTGTTATCTCGTGGATCCTGCATTATTCCAGGGTCTATACATGGCTTGCAAGTGGCGTCAGTCCGCCGTCCTTTCTGGGGGTCAAAAGCGTCTAGCTAACGCAGTGGAAGCTAAGCTCTCGCACGCCTTTCCCCCATTGTGTCTCCCATGGCCCCCTTTTGTGGAAAAATTAACGCAGTGGAGGGTACGCTCTCATGTGCCCTTTCCCCATTGTGTATGGCCAAGTGATGTCGGTGCAAGCCATGTATTCAGAGGTTGCTCTGGTTCCTGGAAGACACTGCCAACATCCGTGTCGTACAGGGCTACTGACCTTTGAGAACTGAGATGCGTTCATTGTTATCTGTTTAGTTTCCATGGGCTTTTGGGGAAACGGAAAAAAGCTTTTGTTGGCGTGGGGGTTTTCATCATTCATCATGGAGGAATCGTCGTTCTGGTTCCGCGTGCAAATTGTTAATCCGTGCATAAAAGTGGAGCTGCCAGAGGGATTTGCGCCCTATGAAAGTATCTATCGGCTGGTCCTCCGAGACGAGCACTAGCTGAGAAACCTAGAATCAGAGTTTCTTTGTTACCGCCAGTAGGCTGTGACTAGCACCGTTGATCCAGTGTTATTTTGGAAACTTTATTTACCTGACTGGCCACTACTGTCCCAAGCCTCGCTGGACATTTTGGGATTTCCTGTGTCCAGCGCAAATGTGGAACGTGTGTTTTCAAAATTGCGGGTTGTGAACCGCAAGGAACGTGCTGCCATGACGGATGCAAGCCTCTCGAAGTATGCTTGCATATACTATAATAACCAAGCGTGAGAAATAGATGCTTCCTCGACAAAAAGTATATAAAATATGTGAATAAAATTGGAACTCTGTCCGTGATCAATCGCATTTTTTTTCCACCGATAATCACAGGTTTTAGCCTTGTCGTGAGACGTTCCACCGAAATACACCGGTGTTTCGAAAATAAATAAACACCGAAAAACATCCGCCGATTTTTCCCACAAATAAACACCGGAAAGTACACACCCTATATATCTCTAATGCCTCGTTTGTAATGCCCGTCTAGGAACCTTGACAGGTAGTGACGGTAACTGTCTCGCCTCCGGCCACCACGAGAGAAAGGGGAGGGAGGAACTCCCCTCTCCCCGAGAATCCCTTTTGTGTGACCCAGACGTCGCTAATGTCCCTCTACAAGATTATAGAAGATTAACCCATCACTCAAAATTCGTACAAAAAGACAGCTTTGAGGTTACTTGTGGTGGCCCGATCGCTGGTGTGCTTCGGCTGCTTTCAGCGGATGCTACAAGCCATTGGGGGCCTATCCAAGGCCGGTGAATATCACGTGATCTTGGAGAGGGAGCACAGCGACGCACGGAAAGCATATTGCGGGCTATGTCCACAGAGCGTGATTGGCTGGGATAGCTCGCAGCGTCCGGACGTAAGGTCCTGAGACAAACTACGTCATGATTGAGGCGGATATGACGTGCTCTCCGGCTAACTGCTCTCCAAGCGTTTGCCAGAGTGGGCCGTTTATAACGAAAAATACAGCCACCAGGCTCAAAATACAAATGTGTGATTGTCATTTACGGATATTGTGGATCATATTCAGCCTATTTGTGAACACGATGGGTGTATTTCCAATTTCGTTGAAGTATCCCTTTAAGGAAGCATTGTACTATTTTGGGAACAAAAACAAACAAATGAAATCTATTTTTGGTGACTCCGTGCGTGACCGAACAAATGCAACTGGAATATTGCATTTGTTCTGGCTCAGCATGGATTCGTTAATAGGCAAAAAAAGACCAGTTTTTTGTTTTTTTGTTGTTGTTCACTTGAGCGAGTTTCTATTTTCATTCAATGAATTCACCCTGCTGTACTTCATTTTCACTGCGATTGTGAGATTGTGAGATTTCTACTTTGCACTTGTTACCAGTTGTTCCGGGACCATTTTCTTCTACACCCGCTTTCATTGCTACAGAATGAAGTACTATGAATGTATGCTGACTAGCCGTAATGAAATATAGCATGTTCTCACAAATGTCCAACTCTCCGATGATGATAGCGAGTGATGTGAGCAGACTGAATTTCGGAAAGGTTCGAACTCGTCGGGCAGAAATGTATTTTTTTCTCTCACCCTGCCAACCTTCAACGTCAAATAAAGAAGAAGAAAAAAAAAAAAAGATCTTTGGGGGGTGGGTGGTAGGAGAGGGGAGGGTTAAATCCTTAAACCCCCCCCCCCCCTCCTCCCTGTCGGTGTGCCACTGCGCTGAACCGCCTGTCGGAGACGTAATACATAATTTTTGAGCTGTAATATAATTTGTTGCTTATAATCTAATTTCAAACGTGTGAACAAATATTGCAATTAAAAGTGTGCTATTTATTCCCACTGGTGCCAATTGCAGCATTTTGAATTACCAAGTAATAAAATAAAAATAGTCTAAAATCAATGAAAACATTCTAGCTACTGCGAGAAATCCATGTAAAATTACAATAATTGTGGGTAAAGTATATTTTGCTATCAAAGTCGCGACTTTTGACAATCGGCAAAACGTCCAAAGTCGGCACCAATATCCTTCACGTCCAAATGCCCATTAATAAAAAAAAGAAAATTAAAGATTTTTTTTATTTTATTATTAATCTTTTCATAACACTTAGTTACTTTCATTTTTACGCTCCGTCGTTTTGCCAATCTCAGCCTTTCCAGTTCGAAGGGATGCCTACCTGCTTGCACGTCTGCTCACTGCAGCACGTTTCGTTGGCATTGGAAGCCGGTGAAACAGTAGTGAGTTTTAGTATTGCATATACGAGGGAACGCAAGGGCTGGGTGTGCTGGCGTTAGCTTTGCGTGTTCCATACTGCGCGTGCGCGGAGCCCAAAATTGCAGTCATGGATGGCGCATGACGATGAGGCGCACGCACAACGTGGGGCATGTAGCTCTATCCCAAATGCACACCGCTTGCGTTTGCTGCTATGCGCATTCTATGCGCAACACTAAAACTCTCCAGTGAGGTACAATCCCATACCGGCTGCAGCACTACGTGGGGATCGTGAATAGTGTTTGCATTTGGAAATGAGATTTCGCGAGCCATGATCGCGAGCAGTTCCGCCGTGCCCGCTGAGCAGGAGAATCGGGGGACCCTCACTAGAGCGCTTCCCGTTTCCGCTGTGGGAGGGCAAGCGTCGAGCTGGAGACGCGAATAGTATTCACGCTGCTCCTCGGGAGTCCTAACTATGCGTGGCCTATTCATCGTGGTGCTGCAGCAACAATGAAATTAGTTGCTATACTCCATTTCATCTTCTATTTAAGCGCAGCGGATGTCACGAGCCATTGGAGCCAATTGGAGGCCGTGTGAATGTCACTTGACCTTAGAGAGGGGGCACAGCGACGCACGGAAAGCGTATCACGGGCCACGTCTACAGAACGGGATTGGCTAAGATAGCTCGTAGCATCCGCTGCATACGGACGTAAGGTGAAACGGGGTATAGGTGGGTTCTTTTATATACGAAAGGCTAGTGACATCACTCCCCATGTCGCAAGCTGCCGTCGTCGCGGCAGCTTGGGCAACAGTAATCTTTATCGGGAACGTATGCGGTGAGTGCTACGTGCTTCGCATTGTTTTCAGGAGCTTTTTATCATTCATTATATGGTTAGGATGCTTGTTTTGTGCTTATTCTTTATTGAAAGGAATGTTGTGCTGTATGTTGTATGCATGGTGTTTGTACTTTTCGCATCAATCTTCTGAAGTCTTTTTTTTTTTTTTGTGAGAACGCCGACACGAAAACACGCGCGAAGAGAAGGAACGTGCTTCGCATTGTTCGCAGGCACCATTATCATCCATTATGCGGTTTGCACTTCACACGAGGGCTTCAAATGACGTCAACCCCTTCCGAAGCAGCTGCAAACCTAATCTTTACCGGAATGCGTGGGAGCGTGTTCCTCTTGTTCACACGCGCCTTATCATCCATCATGTGGTTTCGATGCTTGTTTTGTGGTTTTCTTTATGGAAACGGATACTGAGCTGTATGCCCGATTTCAAAGGAGATATGCTGTTTTGCCTTCAATTGTTTGCCGGGAGATTTTCGCTTACAATGCCAACGACACGAAAATTTCCTTGGCTGGTAGAGGTATACAGCTTCGCTGTGAAAAAAAGAAGGTCAAGCTTTTAAAAATAATAATCTTTATTTTAATGTGTCCACAAACAGCACTAAGCGTAAAAAGTGGTATACTGTCATTGAAGTTTTTATGACAGTGTACCACTTCGTAAAAAGGGGTGCACTGTCATAAAAAGTTGATGATACCGTATTTACTTGCAGAATGAACGCACTCGCGTAATGAACGCATTCCCCAAGTCGGCTCTCAAAATTTCGACTTTTTTTTCACTCGCGTATTAAACGTACCCCCAACTCGGACGTCAAAATTTTGACCCCCTCCCCCCATGCGCGCGAAATGAACGCACTTTTCTATCCTGGTGCAGCGAGGTCGCGAATGCATGGGCAGCGTGAGGGATAAAACGCCTTGCAAAAGGCGTTAAAAAGATAAAAAAAGATACAACGGAAGCAAGAAAAAAAAAACATGGAGGGGAGCTTCTTTTTTTTTTTTGCATAGCGCAGTCTGGACTTTGGGTCGCGCGCCGCGCGCAAGGAGATAAGAAAGAGAAGGGGAGGAGCCCTCGCCTAAGCAAAGCGCGCATAATGAAGGCATCCTGCCCTCGCTTCCTCCTCGCACTTGGGAAAGAGAAGCGCGAAGCCCTTGAAAAGAACACACTTCTCTATCCTGGTGCAGCGAGGTCGCGAGTGCATGGGCAGCGTGAGTGAACAAAACGCCTTGCAAAGGGCGTTAAAAAGATACAACGGAAGCAAGAAAAAAAAAACATGGAGCGGAGCTTCTTTTTTTTTTTCCACGTCGCAGTTTGGTTTTGAAGTCGCGCGCCGTGCGCAAAGAGATAAGAAGTTACGTCGATTTTTTGGGATAAAAGGTCCGTTCATTTTGCGAATAAATACGGGTGCAATTTTACTTCGCGTAATGGACGCCCCCCCCCCCCCCCCCCCCCCCCCCAACTTTGCATCGATTTTTCGGGAAAAAAAGTGTGTTCATTCTGCGAGTAAATACGGTAGTACATGGGACTGGTCAGACATCCCTATAAATTTGTTGACTTGGATGTGACCCAGAAAATGGGCACCTATGATGGCCAGTTGGAGATCTGCAATGATGAACTCCCACCGGAATGTTTGCCCGAATCCAATGTCGATTGTCAGAAAACATTGACCGTAGGTGGCTGTTGCAAGCTGTTGACAGCCCCAAGACACGCTTCGGGTTGCAGCTCGTGGTCAGCAGGGGTAGCGGGCAACGCGCTCACTTCCGCACCAGTGTCTATGAGAAACTGGAGCCTTGTAAGGGTGTGGCGGATATTATTTTTGTGAAATTACGTGGACTTTTTTTACCTCTTCTCGTATATTACTTTGTTTGCACAAGGTTGCACCAGTACTCCTTGAGATTGTCTCAATGTCCGCAGGAGCGGCGTGTTGGCGGGCCAAACCTTGAGACTGGGAGCCGGTCGTGGAAGGAATGCCAAGGCAACTACGTCGACATTGGGCCCCAGACGTCGTACGACGACTACAACAACAAGCTCCGAGGCAGTCTCGAAAACTGTCGTCGTTGGTATGTGCGGATGGATGTGCTCTGTTTAGTGCTCTCGAAGTTCATTCCCTACCAGACGTTAGGGTAGGACACCCATTACTGGTATGGTAACCAGTTTTCTAAACTGACCATTGTGTGACAATGAATTGACCCCTCGTATGGCTGATGCATTTGTGTAATAAATTTATTATACGTATAAAAACTTGCCCTCGGAATATCTTGGCACTTGGCACATTATTCCACATTTCTGTGACAGAAGGTTTGGTTTGCATTTGATTCTATACCTAAGATAACCATTTACAAATGTTAATGCTATGTCCATCATCAGTGAGCATACGTTTGCCATGTATTGTGCTCAATACCCGCTAAATCTGACGGATTTTATATTTTTCTGATGTGGAAAAAATGAGTCCAGCGAATTTTTTGTTGGGCCATTTTTTTGCATGGCGGATTTCTGCCTCATGCAGTGCACCAACTCAAAATTGTCCTTTAAAACACATTTTTCATGTCCTCTAAAAACACAAAAAATGAAACTGGCACAAAAAGTGTCCCTCGAAACAGCTGTATCAAGAATCATAGACCAGTGAACCGAATTGAAGGCGCACTTCAAAATGGCGAATCACACTGGAAAGTGCTATGCGGCAGAGGTGCTGTATGGTATATACAAAGACCAGACCAATCTGTGGTACTTGCTTTTTACAACGGGGCTGTTAAGGACTAAATTCCCCAGAATTGTGTCCACCAGCGAAGAAATGATGACACCGAACTCTGGACAGCTACCGCCATCTATGAGCAATGGCATGCCATACAGCTGGTTGCCGCCGTGGCTCATAAATGGTGGGAGCGGAACGAGTGGCGCAGAGGAGCGGCGATGTGCGCAGCGGCACGAGTGGTTCCGCAACCGCCGTGAAGCCGCTATCACCTAAAATTCCACTGCGTTGAGGGCTTCAGATTCCCTTGCGAAAGAAGAGCGCTCAGCTCCATTGCTCATCCTTCTTCACCAGAGTGGAAAGGCTGAAAGTTGCTGAAAGACCTCATGACTTTGCTTTCAAGCTTGGGTTCAAAAAGTCGCAATTTTGACAGCAGGTGGACATTCTGATGTCCAGACTTGAGGACCACTTGGACCTCAAGCCATATCTAGGCTACCTGTTTGAGACGTTCATTGACAGCATGAAGACCGACGGGTTCTTTCTCGCTGCTGAAGCTGCGATGCGAGAGAGGTGCGCAAGATTTATTAGGACGCTAGTTGATCAAATCAAACAGTGACTTCCCGACAGCATTAAAGTTCTCCAGGGCATCATTTTTATCAGTCCAAAACACGGCTTGTGCATCCTGAAGGAGCCATTGATTCCTCTGTTGGAAACAATGGCAGTGCCCCCTGAAGAAATCTAAAAAAATTGAAATCCAGTGGAGCAAAATCCCCCTCAGTAACTGGGAGCAAATATTGTCAACGCAGTCATTCTTGTGTGAAGTTCACTTCTATAAGGACGCCTGTGGCGAAAACCTGTTCGCTGAGTTGCCTGGATTCGCCACGTCGATGCAGGTGTTGCCCTACTCTCATTCCAAAGTAGACATGACGTTTAGTGAGCTTAACATAGTAACATCCGAATAGAGCAGCAAGCTGAAACCTGAAACAACAAACGCCATCCTCGTCGCAAGAGCGAGGCTGAAGTAGCGCTAAAAAAGTTGTTTTGATTATGAGCTTCCTATGGCGGTTGTAAGTGCAATTGGGACATTTGCAACGTATGTACAACCAAGCTACCTTCGTGGTCCCTCAACAAGTAACTGCAGCAGTCCTGTGGAGATGGTGTCAGACAACGACAGTGGTGACAAAGACATGCTCAATGTGTCTTTCTGTAACCTGCGAGTGCTTTTTTTTAATGTGAAAGCATTAAATGGGGGGGTCTCATGGAGCGAGCCGATGTCATCAGTTTGAAGCGCGAAAACGGCACCTTAAATCCTCTTTCCAAGTGTAGCCAGCTCCCAGCTATGAAACCACGCGAAAAGCCTAGACACAATCCCAAAGGAGCGAAGTAAAGCTGCTGAATTTTCGGCTTTGGTCCCATTGGCTGGCGCGAGTCGACGAGGATCCCAATGGCCGCTGCGCGTCAGTTTGAACGATTCCTCACCCGATGGCGCTACATGTCCGCGAGGCAGCGGCTTCATGGTTCCACGCCCAGGGTCAGTGCGCTGTACGCCGCAGACGAAAGAAGGGAGCAAAGAGCAGCGTGCGTGCTTTTGCATTCACAACTCATAAGAAGTGCTTATAGGTGTACCTCGAGCCTTTTTTTTTTTTTCATCAGTGTGAACATTTATGACTTTTAGCCTCATCTGTGATCAGGTGATGACAACCACAGCGCTGAAGTTTCTAGTATTCTAGTTACCAGGCCTCTTTCGAAGACTCTTTTATATGTTATCTCAGCTCTCAAGGTTTGGGAAAGCCTTTAAAAATTAAAATGAAATTTCGCTGTTTTTTAATACAAAAAGAGGTCTCAGCGGGAAATTTAGTGGGTATGTTTTAGAATTTAATGGAACTGGTGGATTTCTTATTTTATTGCTTTTTAGTAGATTTCTGATGCCCAGCGATGGCAACACTAAAGGGGGGACACTAGTGAAATGAATGAGAATGAAATACATGTATAAGCTCCAAAAATTATTTTTACTGCTCCAAAACAAATTTTTGACTGCTCTGAAAGGTGCATTTCCTCAGTTTTGAACACTTCAGTTTGATACCTTTTGTCAGCACATGCAGCATTTCTCTGACGTCCCCGATAGTTCCGACGTTTTTGAGAGCTCATGTCCTCCCAAATGGGAGGACATTGAACTCAACCCCTGGTGTCTGGAAAATACTGGCCTCTCGGGACATCTCCAATTTCTATTGCTGTGATGCAGGATGGATGTTACTAAAATACTCAGCACTATCGGAAGCTTCAATGGTAGCATGGACCTTAGGCACTGGCTATGTAATGTGTGTGAAGCCGTTGAGCCATCACTATCAAAGCAGTTATCTCCCTTCTTTTTTCAGCAGAACAACTGGCACATCCCATAGATTATTAAAGGGACAAATTACTCCTGTGTTCTGCATTTAATATGTTTTAATGCGAAAGCATAAACGGGGGGGGGGGGGGGGGGTCGGGGGTCCCATGGAGCGAGCCGACATCATCAGTTTGAAGTGTGCCAAACGGCACCTTAAATCCTTTCTCCAAGTGAAGCCAGCTCTCAGCTATAAAACCACGTGAAAAGCCTAGACAACGGCACCTAGTTTCCCCGATCCCAAAGGAGCGGAGTAAAGCTGATGGATTTCGCCTTTGGTCCCATTGGCTAGTGCACGTCAACGAAACTTCTATTAATCGCTGTGCGCGTCAGTTTCAACGGCCGCCACCCCATGGCGCTGTGTGTCCGTGCTACAAACGCGCCTGTAACATGAAACGTCCAAGATCAGAGCTGCAAGGAGCAAGCTGCGGAAAAGTCCTGGAGGGAGCATTTTGTCCTTTGTTCTGGCACCGCAGAGTTGGGGGTGACTGTGGATGGCTTTCTGTCTTGTCGCAGCCCTGGTGGAGGGGCGTGGCGTGGCGAGGGGAGAAGTGGGCCTGGCTTCGTTCGACCTGCGTTGTCCGACTCTGGTGGTGGCACAGTTTCAGGACGACCAAAACTACACCAACACCCTGATGAGGCTGCAGATCCTGGAACCTAAAGAGGTGCGTAGGAACCAGGGAGGTCCGTTCCGTCTGCTGACCGAGAATTTTCCTCAAATTGGTTCAGCTTATCAACAGACACGGCTGAACTAGTTGTGGCTCGAGCATGTAAGCGGCAGTACGTTCAAAGCTGTATCTGTTCGAATGAGCAGGCATGAACCGTGTACTAAATATCCACTTGTGAGTACTCTGTCTCCGAAATGTTTATTCAAATATTAATTTTCTTTTGAGAAAATTAATTTGGAAGTATACGCATACACCTCCAAATCACTTGCTGCCGCTCTACTGGCAACAACGAGCTGGGGCACTTGTGACGTCATATGTTGCATCCGAGAGCAGATAATGCTCCCACTCCTCGGCGTTGTGCATTGTATAGTGATAATGAGCATGTGGTTTTGCAAATTGCGTCTGGTTTAAGCTGTTTGTGGCATGTGATGGAGGGTGGGGGGAATTGATGATTGGCTGTGGGGTGCAATGACACCACGAAGAAATGCAACAGAGTGAAATGTTGTTAGTTTCCGACCAAGGAAGTCTCTGCGGTGGAAGGAGGACCGAGTGGTCCGACGCGAAGGCTGGCTCCTAGCAGTCGCGTCATGCTAGAAAACAGTTGATGCCTTGCTAGCATGTAAAACCTTTCATGCCATTTTGCTTCAAAGCGGCATCTGGGTTCATGTGTCGGCGTTTTGTGAATGCAGCCCCCTCAGGAGGTTCCCTCAGAGCCGATGCCGGCGGATCGAATGCGAACGGCGAATCGTCTGAAGTCTCGTGCTGAAAATCTTAAAAGATTTGCTGGTCATCGCTGGACTAAGACAAGCTCGATGAATATTCATAGTCCATTATTTCCCACGGACGACCGCGACGGCCCTCTGACTGCTTTTGACACTGGGCGAAACAGGGTCAAGCTGCCCATGTGCCGATGTTAACATCCGACGTCGCAACAAGATGGCAGACCAGTAAATTTGCGGGTTATTTTCGGTTTCGTATATGTCATAATTCTATGATTAAAAAGTATTTAAAAATTTTTTGGCAAATTTATTTGCTGCTTTAGGCCCAGTTCCTTGTACTCTTTCCAAAAAGATCTTTAGTTGAAAAATTCAAATTGACGCCTCTGTCTTTCGTACATAACATGTGGCGACTAGGATAGAGAATGAGGAAGGCACCCGGCTTTACTGAAGAAAAATTTCAATGCAAAGGAGCACAGCTGGAACTGCTGCTTTTGGACGCCGGGAAGCATTCGAGCCCTCAAAGCCAGAGTCGTGGCCACAATACGTCAAGCGACTTCAATTCTACTTGCTTGCTAATGGGATTGAGGACGACGCCATGAAGCGTGCAGTCTTGTGCAGCATATGCAAACCCTCCGTGTACGCCATTCTCCGACCTCTATGTTCTTCGAAAACACCAGGTGAAGTACTTTTTGAAGAGAATGTTGACAAAACACTTCGCCCCGAAAACATCGGTAACTGCTCACCGATTCACGTTCAGCAAGCACTGCCGGCGACAAGGCAAGTCTGGCCGACTACATTGCTGAGTTGTGCCATTTCGCTGAACACTGGGAGTACAGTCGCCAACCGATTATTCAAACTTCGCAGGGACCGAAAAGCATCAGAATAATAGAGCAGTCAGAAACAGCAGCGTATTAAAGAACTTGCCCTTATTACGTCTAAGTGGACTTAAACAAGCCGTCAATAGTACCTTGCTTCAGGTTACGTCTCCGCTTTCGTTCGGCCACGTTCTATTAGCTTGAGAATCGCTGCCTTCTTTCCTAGCGTTATGGTCGAGTGCTTTCCGCGCTTTGTAGCGACACTTTGCGGCAGCGGAAGAACAGAGGGGGCCATGACGCCCCCTCTGTTTTTAGGACCGATTCGTTTGTGGAGTCTGAGAGGAAAGTAAAAAAAAGTCAAATTGGACGTTTTAGTGATTTATACAGCGTAAGCTTGGTCTGCCAGTAGGGGCGACACTGGTTTACTCTGTAGATGAGCAATTTCGCCAGTGCAGTACGACTGACCTGGGGTCTTTAACGTGCTCACGCAGTAGTGATACACGACCGCACGCCGGTACGATGCTCATCCAGATCGAAACGGGCAGGGGTGGGGCTCGAACCCAGGATCCCTGGGTTCTGCAGTGCGAGCTTTCGCTCCACGCGCGTCGAGCTGGGTGTGCGCTTCAGCCCGCTCGGCCACAGATCCCCCAAGTCTGAGAGGAATTGGTGCTGCCTTGTCACTGAGCTTGATCTCACATTCACTGGAGCTCAAGAACTGGCGATTGTCGTGGAGTACGCCAGAAATCGCACATGAGAAATCCGTGACTCCCGGAGTTAAGAGGCTGTAGATGTTCGCTACGTCGACGAAAACGACTCATGCAAGACATCCAACAGTTTATTGGCGCCAGGCCACAACCCTGGCAAAATGAAGACATCTCCAAGTGCAACTGGGAGATGTTGGTGTTGCAGTAATGCGCACGATGCAAGTAACTGCTATTTCGCACTAGCCATTTGCCATTTCTGTGGAAAAGAGGACACATCGTACGTGCATGCCGTCGGAAGTCGGCCAAATCTAAGCACTATGCTTCAACAGCGAGATCAGAACATCGCCAGGAGTGGGACAAAGAGCCGTTGGAGTGTCGCCTGAACTTCATTGAACCAGCGGAGAGGGTCGAAGTGCAAGTAAATGGAATTGCAATCGGCATGGAAGTTGACACTGCAGCTGCTTGCTCAGTAATTGATCCTAGAACAATGCATAGTCTCAAGATAACCAAGCACAAGCTGAGACAGGCAGAAATAACTCTCCGACATAATATTCCCAATGCAAGTTGATGGTTCTACTTCTGGGTAGCGTCAATGTCTGCGTGCAATTCAAGGTAAAAAAGCACGCGCTACCGTGGTTGGTGGTAAGAGGAAGTGGGGGAAGCCTGCTTGGAAGGAAGTGGTTCCAAGCGCTCATGATCACTATTCAAGGAATTTATCAGAAATTTATCTAATTATGATGCAAGATAAAAATTATGATTCTTTATATGAATGGCTACACATACAAAGCAGATATTTGACGATTTCCTTTAGACAGGCCTACTGATCATAAGTAGGGTTCGGAGTTTTCGGTTTAAACCGATAAAAACTGATAAAAGTACGCCGAATCGATTTTCGGAAATTCGGTTTTAACCGAAAAAGGTCAGTTTGTAGGTTCGGCATTTTCGGTTTAAACCGATAAAAGTACATATAGTCCGTTTTCTAAAATTCGGTTTTAACCGAAGAAGGTCATTATTTTAGGGCCGCGTCGAGGTAGGAGGGGGAGAGGGGGGGGGGGGGGCGAGGGAGAAAGGGAGAGGGCTTTGCAAGGTTCGACATTGTGTGACCTCTTCGTGATTGCCCTTTTCCAAGGTTCAACATGCAACAAAAGAGGTCTTGGATTGGCCTTCGCGGGACATCTGTGTCCTTTCTGTGATCGGGCTTAATCTGTCAAGTTCCCGGTCCTAAAAAAAAGGTTCGGATGTGGGCTAGTACAAGGTTTTTCGCTTTATGCACTTCAGAGGACATCGAGGAAAGGTGCTAATGCCTTTCTTAACACCCTCTCTCAAACTTCCCTCCAATTAAAAACATAAATACAATGAATTTTTTATTTTTTTTGCCATTCCGCGGGTTTTAGTACGGTCATCACCTGAGGCGGTCAAGTCGTCAGAATGGGAAGGAAAAAGAAGCGCGCTGAAGATTATGCCCGCGAATTCCGCGATTTTGAGGTGTGTCCTGATGGAAGTCGCTGTGTCCTGACGGAAGTTGCAGCGAAGACCTCGTATGTATATGTGCCGTTATTCTTTGAGTGATCACAAATATCACAGCTACAAGGATCATCTAATCCGGTGTCCGATGGTGCTTCTTTCACATTCACCGAAAAAAAACGGTAAACTTTTTTTGAGAATAAATATACACCGAAAAAAACCGAAAATTGAATTTTAAAATAAACACCGAAAAAAGTATGCCGAATTTCGAAAAAATAAAAACCGAAAACGCGGAACCCTAATCATAAGCAAGTATGCTACATATGGAACGTTGGTGAAATGTATGAGATAACTTTATTCATCCTTCAAGAATGTTGTCCATCATGGACTGTTTAAACTGCACATGACACCTCAAAACAAAATTAAGTTTGTTCATCCAGCAAAAAATGTGTCTATTGTGCATTTCTTACCAAGCACCAATGCACTGTGGGGAAACAACACCTGTGGAAGCGAGCTCTCCAGGCTTCGTTTCTCTGCAGTGCATCGGTGCTTGGTAAGGAGCTTGCGCAACGGGGCTGTGAGAACAAAAAGTATGAATTACATGAAAGTGCCATTCAAATTAAGCGGCTTATAAATTAAAAACATAGCGGGACAAGTACAATTTGAAAATTTGTTTGAATTAACTAGAAGTATGAAATACCCGAGTTTGAATTATTACGAGCCTACTGTATCTGTTATACCTACCGTAGAATTCCGTCAGTTTCCGAATGGCTAATATGTGAAATCAATGCAGCTACTAAAGGTTTTTTATGTTTAGGTACAGTAATCCCTCATTCTAACGAAGTCAACGGGATCGACGGAAAAAAGATTTTATATAAGCGGTAATTCAATAAAAGTGATAGAGCAAAAAAAAACAATTCCAGCAGCCTTGAAGGTGGATGGGAGCACTACAGAACAATCTGGCCATATATTTTACAAACAAGCCTTTGTTATGAACATCTGGCGGCAGCTTTACCAAGTAAAGAAATAATTAAGTGGGGTTTGCCGATAATTTCATCCGGGCATCAGTTCTCCTCAAACTGTTCCAGGCATCGCAAGAGCACAGTCACCGCCGCTGCACTCCACTTTGTTTCGAAGCATCTGTAGGATGTTTCAAGTCTCCGCAGTCAATGGAATTTCCCGAGGTGCCTCTCCGATGCCGCTTCGTGTTTACCCTGGCCGCACGCAAGGGCTATGATCACAGCATCCGTGACAGGAGCAACAACGGGAACATCCGTATCAACAAGCGTGAACGAATCAAAGTTATACTCGGTGGCTTCGCTAACACTTTTTCACAGACTTCTGTAGAGATCGTTGCAACTCTGGGAATGGTGTGCCAGCTCGGCAAGCATGCTCGCGAGAGAAAACCCGACGTCGCGCGAAGCAGTTGGCGATCTTTCATCTTTGGCTTGCGGGCGCTCTTTCTTTTGCATGAGAAACTTCTCGAACCCATCCAGTATGCCTCGCTTGTTTTGCAAAATGGTGGACACTGTCGAACAGCCGATGCCGGAATGTCAAATTCTTTGGCAATTTCGGACTGGCCAGCCACTTTTCTCAACCTCGCAGATCTAAGTGAGTTTCGGTAAACACCCCCAATCTCCCATACGACGCATATCACATGTGCGTTTCCATGGCCTCCGAGATCTTGAGGTGCGCGGCGTGTAGTATGGTAGTACACTGTAGGCCGTGCAGGCGTGTGAGTCGGGGGCTCCCGGAGGGATGATTTCCTCCAGGCTTCATGACCTTCATCGCTTCCTTGACCCGATTCTGACAGAAGTCGGGCAGCATCGGCTGCGGGTGCTGTGAGTGGACACTGCTCCCGCTGCTCCCTGCCCGCGTCTGCACATCGGCATCGGAAGCGGTGCTCTGTGTGCTCTGCCTCCGTCATCTGTTTGCTCCGTTTTCTTGTTTGCCGTTTTCCCGGTTTGCCGTTTGCCTCGGTGAAGAAGGGAGATGCAACGCAAGGGTTTCCGTGCGCCTCCGTGTAGGCTTGCATACTTTCGGCATCGCGGCCTTCATAATAAGCGTGGTCGGCCGCCAATACACTTAGAATAATCCAGTTCAAAATGCATGCATTTCAGTCGGGACCACTTTGAACTTCGATAGAAGCGAAAATTCGAAAAAAGTGATTTTGTTTTAACGAGGGATTACTGTACATACATTTTATTCATCAAAGTGTCTAGCGTTACGTCCGACGTAACCCAAGTTACGTCCAAATCTCTGCCTTCCCTAGGTTCACGGAGGGGAGAGAGGAGGGCGGGGGGGAGAATTAGGTACCGTATTTGCACGAATATAACGCGACCGCGAATATAACGCGAGGGCAGTTTTTGATGCCCCCAAAAAGAAAAAAAAAAATTATTACTATTATAACGCGAACCGATGCCGCGTCAATTTCTCGCACTCCTCAATTTCTCGCACTCGGGGGCATAGCAGAAGTGAAAAAGTCAATGGAAATGGAAGAAATATCAGTTTATGTTTTGACAGCACTCATCCTCACTGCTCAGGTCCTTCCGTTTACAATCCACTTGGCGACTACGCAGGTATGCAGCAGCACGGCACCTGCTTGTCTGGTAGTTCTTTTTTTCTTCCGTGGGAGCTCCTCGGCAGCCCACAATCCAAACAAGGCGCGGAAGCAGAAGCACCAACACACAAACACCAGACCACTCTGGAGCAGAAACTAAACAATGCGCTGGCAGAAAAAAAGACTGCTGAACCCGATACACGATCACACTTCTTATTCTGGTCCCTCTTCGTAAACAAATGCTTCGTGTTGCACGATTGCGTAAACGCGGTCGGTGGTCTTGGCTTGGCTTGTGTTGATTTGACTTGGCCCGGCTTGGCTTGGCTCGAATTGGCCGGTGCCCGCATTTCCGCATGGCGCGCGCGCGTGCAGCGTGAGCGCGTTGTAAAAACACAAAAGCGATAAAAATGCTTTGTTATGTTTTCTATTCGCCCCTTCACGTGGCCCAATGGCTAGAAAATGCCCCTCCGCACCCCCACTTCTTTTTCCATTGGATCTTTTGCATTGAGCCGGAGGGATGGCTTTCTCCTCTGTCTTTCTCCAGACTCGCGCGCCTCGTGCCTGAACTCGATTCCGAATGTAACGCGAGGTGCGTTTTGGAGCACGTAATTTCGGAAAAAAACTCGCGTTATATTCGTGCAAATACGGTATATGCGTTTCAGTGCTCCAACCGGACGTAACGCTAGCCACAGCGTTTATTCATACAGTAGTAAGAGAGAAACATTTGAATTGCAGTAATGTTACAACAAAAGTTGGTTTGTCGCAAGAGGCCGGTCCGTGAGAAGTAGACAGTTTCATCAGAAAATTGTGTGAATTGGTTTTAAATGTGATAGACTTCATAAATGTCTACAAGAAATATTCCTAGAATTTCTGCAGCAGTTTTTAAGCAGTTTAATAAAAAAAGATTTATGCAGTCAAGACAATGCAAAAGGCCATAGCATTTCAATGACGATTTATGCAGCGATTTCGGCACCATTTTTTTTTTCCAGTTTGCTCGTGTTGTTAGCGGCAACTGTAAACCATCTTGATTTGATGGACCTCAGCCACAATATTGGTGACTAGTGGTGGCTTTAGCTCGACTAGCAATGAGCTTACAATTAGCAAACCATTTGAAAACGCTCCTGTTGGTGGTTCTTTTGCCGATTTTTGGAGTGAACTGTGCAGTTGTTGGTGCCCAAGACAGCGTTGGAGCCCCACTCCATGGGGGAGTTGGTGCAGCTGCTTCGCAAGGAACTTCCGATGATCACTGTGGTTCCCCTTGACCGGCGCCTGTTCAACGACTCTGCAGGCATTGAGTATGTCCGCAATCTCTGCGTGCCGGAGTACAGCTCCATCGAGACAGAGGTCGTTAACAAGTGAGTTGTATCCAATTCTCCGAGCTCTATATTTTCCGGTGGAAGTCACATTTTCCCCCAAGGTTCTGTCGGTGTGCCATACACAACGATGCAACTTATATTATTTTCTTTTATAACTGCGGGATGAGCTGGAATTTAATTACGGCCTTTGTGGTTTTTGTTTGATGGGTTGGCGAAAATAATGAACCTGCTGCTCCCACTTGTCATATATTGTGATCAGCATACACATAAGTGGTCTTAGCAATGCAGTGTCACAGCAATGACTGTACAACGAAGTGGGACTCATGTACAAAAATATGTTAGTATAATGTTTCTTTTTTAAAAATAATGCCTATAGCAGTGGTTCTCAAATGGGGGTTTGCAGACCATTTGGGGTCTGCAAAGGCATATTAGGGATCCGTGAAGCCCTGCCTCATCAGTTAAGCCTGGCAATCAAAGTTTTCTTGCTTTCAAATTAATAAGAAATGTTCCAACTTTCGGGCGAGTTTTCTCGTGTGTATGTCAATGAGAGAAGTCTGCTTCACACTAGCCCTTAGCTATGTCCATTTATTAAATCATTATTATAATTAATTTATGCCTTCCCCCAGGGGTGGATGCAGGAATTTCCTGAGGGAGGGGGGTCAGGTGTTGGTCAGCGTACCATATGTTTAGGAACCCCCTCCCCCTCTCCCTCTTTTCACACCCTAAATTTTACACATGCAGAAATCAAGAGGGGGGTCAGGACATCTGGACCCCCCCTCTAAATCCGCCCCTGCCTTCCCCTCATCACGAATGGGGTCGTCTATCGTCTCCACCCATCCACAAGGAGTCCTCGAGACATCAATGGCTGAGAACCACTGGTGTATAGCATTACTAATCGTACGCCACGCAGAAACTACCGTGTCGCTATGAATGCTGTAATATTGCAATATTTCTAAGAAGAACCCCATTGATAAGTTTGTCAGGCGACCGCAGTAAAACAATTTATGATCCAGGAATTGTAACTACCAGTAAATGCTTTTGGGTTCCTTATATGTGGCAAAGACTCTCACACAGTTATGTACTTCTTATTAACTTTCACAGCTATAGAGTGCTACCATAATCGTTCAAATGTAGGTTGACATTTTTTTTTTATTGTTCTTTACAATTAGGAGGTTGTCGTAATCACAATGCAAAAATGTCGACCATAAGAGTGAGCAAAATTACCGAGCCCTTTGAGTAAACCCTGACGCTCCCCCGTGTCAGCCACTGCTCCTAGTACACCAGTGCCAAGCAGTGAAGCTCAATGTGCCTGCCAGGGCAAAACGGGGAAGCATGCCTCACGTAATGCACGATCACAATCTGCAAACTTTGGTCTAAATGAGGCAAGCAGAGCCAAGCACAACAATAGAGCGTGCCAGAGAAAAGATGGAGAGGTGAACAGGCTATTGTGAAAGCCCGACTCTCTTTAAAGCAAAGTTCAAGGTTGTGTCCACCCAGGCCAGTGCAGAGGGGTAAAGAGGTTAAGGGGAGGTAGTAAAGCAAAAAGCCTGGCTGCCCAACATGTCGCGTCGGGAGGTAGTTTTTGATCGTAACAACCGGGAGTTTGATACCCTTATTTCTGTCGGGGTTCAACGGGACTGGCGCTCGTGATCATAACAGCCGGGAAAGCATAGCAGTCTATGAATGTGGTGTTTTGGTTTTTAGTGCTGGGAGCCAGGTTCTTTTGTTGACATCACAGGTCAGGGAGCGCAAATATGGCTGCGGTCACGTTGACCCAAACAGCGGCGACGTGCTGGAGGCTACATGCTCTGCTCTCATTCTAGGACGCATGCCGTGTTTTTGGGCCCACATAACTGTTGTGCTTCTTGGTCTGTGACGTCATTCCAAGATCCTACCAAGCATGAAATCCACCCAGCTTGCCATCTGATTCTGCTTTCATTTCTGAAATTCACCCAGAATATATATTTTCTCTCTAGAAATAGAAATTCGACCTTACAGCTGTTCCCGAGTTGAGATGAAACCACCCATGTGCAATGTTTCCTGTCAAAAATATCACAAAAATATCACCCCTGTGCAGAGTGTGATTCTAGAAACTAGAGCAGCAGTAGCTCTTAAATTTTCTGCCGACTGCCGATGGGAAGAAGGGAACAGCTCTTCTGCTGAAAGAATGGTCTGTTTATTTCGTCGTGATATGCGGTTTTTAAAGCTTCAAGAATTCTTTTCGGCCGATCAGGCACGAGCAAAATAAGAAGAAAAGGCGAGCCAGATACGTCGAGCCAGATTATCCTATCAGGCTGCAACCACAACCTAAGAGCATGGGAATTGTTACATGGCACAGAGAATGAAACATGGGCTCATCTTCATTTAGTTCCCACCCCACTGCATACTTCTCCTCACGTGATATCTTCTGGCGACCTTTACCGTGACCACTGTCTCTTCTAACACGACATTTGTAACATTTCTTATTTTTCCCACCCAAGTTACTTGAAAATGCGTAAGGTAATGAAACTTAGTGCTATTTGGTTCATGTTATTAAGCAGAATAACTAGTCTTAAAAGATGAGGGCAAATATCAAGTAGCATGTTGCTCCTGATTGTTTCTTTACCGTGGTCCTCGTTTTCTCTTAAAGCGTGTACTTGGACTTTGTGACAGTCGCACTGCGAGCGCACACGATGGTCCCCACTTCCGGCACACCAGCACCGTAGGAATGCTGCGGAGGGTCACAGCCACGGGTGCTCAGTTGCATCTGACCGTCCAAGCTGGTTGGTCATGTTGTACAATAAGTACTGTTACAATATTGACGCCCCCTTCTTAACAGACTTCAATGAAGAAAATGGTATTGATGGTATGATACCAATGAACAGACTACCTATTCATTACAGAAGCCAGAAACATGCCCGAAGGATGTTGAGACGCAAATGGCATAATTTGTTTTATGTCTATTCCAACATGTATGCTTGTAAGAAGTATGTGAAGCTGAGGGGCATTGAGACAGGTCCAAACTTAAAGGAAGGATCCTGTTTCCAGGTACTATGGGCTGTCTGCCGTCGCAGCACTGGTGCAGTATGTGGAAGGAATGCAGAACGTAACCTGCACCCCACACTCCATCAAGATCATCTTCAACTCGGGCAAGGGAGTCACTCGCCTTGGTAACCCTTCTCACAAGCTTCTCACTGTTCTAAATTGTTCAGACAAAAACAGCAAGGTTCCATCGTGTGGAGCCTCGCTAAGACACCCTTAAACTGCAACAAAATTTTGTGACATGGTGATTGAGGAAGCTGGGTAGGATATAAGGTGTGATAAAGTGCCGGTGAAGAGGCGTCTGATATTATCTGGAAGTGTTTTCCACCCAGCGGCGCAGCCAGGGGGCTGGGTTTATGGGAGTTCAGCTCCCCTCCGAAATCTAGCCGACCCTATAATATACACATGCATTTTCAGCCTCCCACCGAAAGGAATTCCTGGCTACGTTGCTGGTTCCTCTGCACGGCTTGACGAGTGCTTAGTTTCTCACTGTGGAGGGACTATGGATGTGCAGACTCTAGCCGTGGTGTGGTCAGAGAGCACCGCACCATCCGAAAGTGACTACCATAAAGTTGCAAAAGAATGCCCACCCTTGGAGAGGAGATCGACAGTGAGAAATGTGAGGTGGATGATCTTTCGGGGTGCAACAGCAAAAGGCTATAGAGAAGTGAGCAGTCAACACATTCAGGCACCCGCTACGGGAACTGATGCCACAGGTTGCAGACACGGCAACATTGCATTTCATGGTGCTGTTCATTCATTTTACGAATTTAATTGGGACTAGACGTGCAACTAGTGGACATTTAGTTTTGAATGAATTTGAAGCAGATATAGTTATTTTGACCGACTATTTTCAAATCAAACATTTAATGACTGCAGTGCCTTTCTCCAAATCTTTTACTATTGCATCCTTCGTAAACGAAAATCCAGCTAAACTCGTTTAGGAATTGTTCCTAAGTTTTCATTGGTTCACTGCTAAGCTCGCCCAGCTAAAAATTATCGTTAGTTCCAATAGGAATTCTAACTGGTTTTAATAGGAATTAATCGGTTTTAATGGGTTCCAATTTGAAGCACACTGGCCAATGGGTCTCACCAGTTGGAAAAAATTTTCCAGTTGGAAACTTAATGAATTCAAATGGTTCCCGTTAGTTCCCATTGGTTCCCATTGGTTCCCATTACAGTGACCAATTGGTTGTCCGAAAACCTAACTGGTACCAATTGGAAATTCCAATTGGAATCTAAAGAGAATTTTCAGTTAATTTTTATCTAACTGTATTGACTGCGACCCCAGAGAGTCCAAGGCCTACATAGGGGTGGCAGGTAAATGACGGAATTAAGTTAAACCCCAAAAATTAAGCCCCGAGCCGGTTTGATAGAAATCGTGGAAAGCCGAAAAGTCCTGAATTGGAGCTGACCTTGAATAAAAAGTACAATGGAACACCGATAATGCGTCCCCGGTTTATGCATCATCCCGCATTTTACAGCTATATGCTGTTGACCCCAGCAAACTCCTCCTAGAAATAATATGTTAGAAATTCGTATTTCACAGTGCGTGAACATGCACATCCCCTTTCATACGACAATGCTGGTGCGGCGTATCACTGGGATAAACAGACAAAACACGAAAGAAAATTTGCGTCGGCAGGCAGGCGTATCCTTCTCCTCCCTCCTTCCCCAAGGAGGCTGTTCGTTCGGTCTCCTTTGCTGATTGTGTTGCTTTTGAAAATTGTTTGTTTTCACCCTTTGCCTTTCCTAAATGCATCTTTCATTTTTTATTTATTGATTAATACTGTGTCTTCTGGTGGAGATTTTGTAGGAGTGGGAAAATAATCGGTGCACGTAAAGCAGAAACAATGTCGGCACTTTGAACAGTATAAATCTATAAAACAGTTTCAGCAAAACTGCATTATACAATTTTAGAAAACTGATCACACTGTACCTTTGAAAGGTGTTTGGGCATGCGCATAAGTACATTAAAATTCACAAACACACAGAGAGAACACTTATGAATAATAATGAGAAAGCTCACGTGCGAATGATGTAACAATGTCAATTGTTAGGGAATTCCAATTGTGTATCGTCCTTGGGAAAAAGGAAATTGGGACTTGTCACTTTCCTGCGACACGTCCTGGTTTGCTGTTGCTCTCTGCTCTTTCGTTTTTATTAATTTTTTTGGCTGCACGACGCCCTGCGATAGCTCTTGCGGGCTCGTACCGTGCTTTCAAAAAGCAAAAAAGCGTTTGGTCTTGGCGTTCCCTCCGCTTATGCTCCGCAGAGGTTGCTCTTGAAAAACTGTGCCGTGCCCATGTACACTCATTATGACTTGTGGATTACGTCAAACTCTCAGGACAACGTCGCAGTTCGCAGCACAGTGTCGCTCAATTAAGTCGTCAAAAGGGAACTAGGCGTTCACGTTCTCACCTGCAAGCTCCCTGGAGAGCAGTTGGCACTGTTGCGCATGCACGGGTCTCATGTGCCTGTGGAACCACAGCTTGTCGGAAATGTCACAGGCACGGCCAAAGTCGTCGTTTACGAACTTGTCCGCAAAGGGAGTGTTGGCCGCCAGAAACGGGGACAAATGAGCACCCGCTTGACAAACTCAAGCCTCAAACCGCCTGCGTCTGTCGCCCTTGCTGGCGCACTGCCGTACCTCGGGGTCTTGGCAGCACGGCGCTGCGACCATCGTGCCGCACCTCAGGGTCCTCTCGGCACCGTCTCTTGGCCAGTGCTTTACAGGGCATTAGCTGGGGATCTTGTAGCCTTTGACGTCTTGTGGCCTCCACTTTGCACTGTAGTACCTCGGGATCTTTACATCACCGTGTACGTGTAGCATGGTCGGCCTCTCAGTGGTTAGTGTGGGCGTGACTCCGATCGCAAGCTGCGGAAGCCAGCCGTTCCCTTCGCGCTCACTCCTGGGACAAAGTATGGCCTCGGTATGACAGTGACATTAGGAATAGTCTGCAGTAGTGATGATGCGAGCGAAGGCGCAGGTTTTCCCGGTGTTGTTGAGCGGTAAAGGGAAGGGGTAATGTTGACGTTCAGCGATGGGCGGAGGGGGGACGCGTGCGGAGAAACGAGGCAAAGCTCTACAGGGAAGGCGGGTGCTATGCAACGAGTTTTGGTAGACCATATTGTATGTTTCGAGTTGGCTTCGAGAAGTAGAGGTGTTGTAGTGAAAGCGAACGTGGTGGAAGTTTCTAAAACCCTTCAACATTACACATAGCAACTAGATACTGCTGAAGTGAGATTTCATATGATGTGAGTAATATTTGAAAACACCTGTTTTTAAGTTATCGTTGGCCGACGACGGTGAAGACGCTCCGTTGACGCTTTCTCATCATCACGCCATATTGGCGGGTTGTCGGGGCTCTCCTCTCTTCCCTCTTTGTGTGGCGTGGCCAGTGGAAACACCCAACTCCTCTCTCCTCGTGCCATGAGAGGAGAGAAGAAGTGTTTTTCCATCTCCGCCGCAACGACGGACAACAAATTGCAGACACTGAAATCTCCGCTAAGTGTCACCCATGATGCTATCGCTTTAAAAAGAATGACACACTAGTCGTATCAAAATGTGCACTGCGAGCCCCTTGTACTATAATCGTTCATTCGAAATCCACATCGCACTGACTCCGTCGCCAAAATGTGCCAGTCCATTTGCTGAGCCCAATTCCCCGATGACCGACGTGCAGACTGCACGACTGTGCGTGAGCTGGAGCTGCTGGTGAACAAGATGGCTCCCCGGAGTGGCGCCTCGCTATTCGGCATACTGAACCACACCAGGACGCCTGGTGGAGCACGCCTGCTGCGGGTGAATGTACTGCAGCCACCCTGCGACAAAGATGCGGTGGCGCAGCGCCAGCAAGCGGTGCGGGAAATCCTGGACGAGGAGGAGTTCTTCTACGGGCTTCAGGTGGGCCTTAGTCTCCAAAAACAGGCTGCGGTTAATTCTGCTTTGTGGTCCGAAGTGGTCTACTTTGGGGCCACTCTGAATGCATGGGCGGTATAGGATGCCAAACTCACCAGTTGGAGATGCGTTGCAGGCACCGTAATATTGCTAAGATCACCCTGTTGCATAGGATCAGTGCTACCAGTACGGCAGGCTAGTTCACCTATTCCCTGCGCAGAGAGGCAGTGACGTCACGGTGCCGAGCTCCGATTGGAGAACTTAATGGGTAGACACAAATTCGTGTGCATTGCAGAAAGCTGGAAGCCTGCCAGAATATCTGCCTTTGTGTCTACTACTGTATCCTCCAATCAGAGGGAGCAAGTTCGTCCACTCCTTGCACAAGGGGTGCAGTGGCAAGTTCCCACGTCATTTGCTAGTCGGAGCAGTGACTGTCTTGCCTTTTTTACGGCTTTTTGAAATCCAGTTTTTTTATGAACGCTGCTTGCTTATCTTCGAGAAAAAGTTGAGACGAAATAGTTTGAAGGGTGTGTGTACAGTGGCTTAAAGGAGGTAGTGTAACGAACGAAACCGGAGAAGCGGCACAGCGTTGAAGGACGGCCGCGGGTGGCGCTGACGCTTGCAGCACTGTCGTTCCGGCTATGGCTCCAGCTTGGCCGCTTGGTTAGCTTGGCTCCGGCCGATTCGCAGCTGTCGACTACACTGTCGTCTGCTAGTTTCACATTTTTATACACCTTCAAACACAAATCATGTCGTTGGAAGTTCGCTGGAAACAAATAATTGTTTTTGAGATATTTATATTAGTTATGAAGCGTGATAGGGTGCCTCTATCTGCCGGCCGATTGAGGCACCCAACGGAGCTGCGGATCGAAGCGCCACCTACACCGTCTTCCAAGGAGCGGCTGTTCCCGATGCATGGTGGAGGCTACGCGATAACCACACTACCCCTTTAAGCCACTGTAGTGTGGGGTTCCTGTCGACTAAATAGTACAAGATGCGTTACAACGAAGGAAGTGCACTCGACTCCCAGTTATTCAAAGTCGCTTTATTCTAATTTTCAGTTGGTTGGAAGCATGGGTGCAGTTGCAAAAATTGCAAGCACATCCCTGGAAAAAATTGCACAGTAATTCGAACAATTATTTTTGTGTGTGCTCCTGTAGTCTACGGGAAGAAAACTGCTGGATGATGACAAACCATCACAGTTATGCTGACCATGCTTAATCGCAATCTTGTACTCTTTATCACTTTTATCTATTTTTGCACTGTCATGAAATGAGCAAACAAGTGCAGGCATGGCCAAGTGGCCAAGCCAAGCATACATTGCAGTGCTTGCATGTCGTGGCGCCACCCCTACAGGGGCGTAAATGCCGTCAGGGGCGTAAATGCACTCCAACGTTGCATGTAGCCGCTCAAAGTCTATACAGGAGAGGGGGCTGCGGTCAAATGCGTATATAATCGCGTTAAACTTTGCATGCATTGGCGCAACGTTTATAGACGAGAGGGCGCTGCGGTCAAATGCTCAACTGCATATACGTATAACCATGATCCATACCACACATTCTCTTTCTGACATGAACCATTGACTTAAGCGGTGAAGATGCATTCCCACGGCTTCTAGCGGATCCAAGTTGATCCGCTAGAAGAACCACTGGCTCTGCATTTCACCGACCATAAAGCAGTAATAATGAAGTCGAAAGGCAACCCGGAACTTAGCACTACCTGTGAGCAATAAAAAAAAATCGGCACCAGCAGCACTACCTATGAACAATAAAATCAGTATCATCAGCACCACCAGAGCTTCGCCCCAATCAACATCATTCACCGCGTGGAGATGTGGTTTCTTTTTTTGGGAAGGAAGCTTGCTGAGGGACTTTTTGTATGAAAGGGAGTATTTACGGCATTGCTAGACCCTAAGCATTAAATTTAGGTATAGATTGCACACAGAACTTAACCGGGGGACATTTTTTTATGTTTCTTAGGTCTTTGCACACGGGCAGTAATTTGGTATACTTTGGAGGTTGCCAGACATACCCAAGGATTTCCACCAGTTATGAGCTGGAATCTGGTTATTACATAAAAACCTCTTAAATTTTTCCATTTGAATTATATAGTCACAACCGGTTATAATGAAATGAACGGTAACCTGAAATATGTTTGCTATATTCTGAATTTTTTCTATCTGGGATTTGCAAAAACTTGCAATTTGTTTTATGCGTAGGACATGTCAAGGTCATGCAGCGTACAGCTTAAGCTGTTTAAATAGTCGCTGTATGATTTGTTGAGATTTAATGCAGTGTAGCTAAATAATGAAACATTTGTGTTCTAGGGCAATATATCGGACGCGCATACTTACATTTTAATGCACTGTTAGATGGACTTCTTCCTGTGCATTAGATGGACTTCTCCCTATGCATTTTTGCGCAGCAGAAAATCAGTGGAGCAAGGAGCCTTAAATATGCAGGGTGCACTGCCTGCAAGTTGCAGCCACCGCCTCCTGTACTAAGGTGCCTGTCATAAGAGCGGCGCGCGTCCTGCCGTGCCCTCTCCCTCTTTCTTCCTCCCCTTCACCGAAATGACTGCGAGGGGCGCTGCCAACTGACGCTATCGCGGCCACAGCAGCGCGGGAGATTTGACGTCTGCTATTGTGATACCAGTATAGGGGTGCGCGAATAGTGTTTCAAATCGAATAGCGTAGTGTCATCCCTAGCATTAACAGCACAAAGAGAGCTGGTTGCATTGGATTTCCTTTGCATCGCAAAGGCTACGAATGACGTTGCGCTGTACAGGGGGAACAGCGCACGTGCAAAACAGTTGCTCAAGTCCACGCACACAAAAGAAAGACATACGCAGCACTGACTAAGAACTTTTTGGTATATTTACACTTTCGTCTTCATCTCCTTTTAGTATTATGGACTAGGGCCATGGAGAATAATTTGGTCTTTTTCTTCTATGGGATGCTAAACCGTAAACCGAAAATTAAAATTAATGTAAGGCTAGGTAGTCTAGCGTTACATTTCAGGTGCATAGGGAACAGCATAGACACCCATGCTGTTATCGCCTTTCAAAATGTGTCTGGATGGCCGATCGCCCAGCGCAAGTTAAGTGTCTGAGACGAGCGCCACCGCGTGGCATTTTGGCTGCAACACGATGCATGCAGACCGGCCGCAATGGAAGAGCAAGTCACCTGACAGGCATCTTAGTACAGGACGCGTTGTTGTAGCTGACACGGATCGGACTTGTTTTTGTAAACGCCATGAAGGGAATTAAAATGCATTAGAGCAAACTTTAATTGCAAACGAAACTGCCAATATGTGTTTAGGACACAATGCAATTAGTGAAAACATATGATTGCTGGTTTTTCCTGCTTTTTTGCAAAATTGAAATGCTTTTATTGAATTCATTAGCATAGTGAAAAGTACAGTGCAGCCCACTTATAACGATACCAGGTATAACGATGTACCGCTCATAACGATCAGTCTAGAGCTTCTAGACTGGAAATTCAATTCTAATCAATGTTTATTTTTCGCGTTCTTACCAATAGCTCAAAGGCCTTTGCAGTAAAGCACGGAGCATAAAATACATATTCATCACAAATGCACATGCTTCAAATTACAGACATGTTTTAAAATCTATACATATGCCTTACATTAATACATATGCAAACAGTTTCGGCAATTTTAGAGCAACCCTGTACAAACAAGGGGCAATTTTGTACAAAAAATACCAGCATTGCAAAACTTTGTGTTTAAAACATGTTGAATTTGTGATACCGGTGACAAGTTGCTATGAATATCTGGGTAAAATCTCTGAGATTTCTAGAGTTTGCACTGACAGGAATGCGGAAGTGTAAGGAAGCAAGAAGTCCAGGACTGACTACAGACCCATGAGCCAACCTGTGCAAAAACTTAACATCCCGGACAGATCTCCTGCTATGTAGAGTGCACAGTTTTAGTTTGGATAAAATTAAATTATCTTCAAAATAACATTTATAACCAAACTATCTGTCATAGACAATCCGCACAAATTGTTGATCAGCTTCTAGTCCAGATACAACGATAATCAATTATAACGATTGAAGTTTCGTGTTTTCTAAATATTGTTATAAGTGGGTTGCACTGTACTCATTCCAGGCACCAACCTTGGCGGTACAATTCAGCTTTAGGCAGTAACTAGTAACGTGTTGCCAGTAACTGTCGCAAAATCCCATAAGGGCACTCTCCCCTGAGAGATTGCCCGTCCCGTTCTTCGAGCGAAATATCTATAACATAAAAATTCAGAAACATTGCCCACCCTCTATCTCCATCGGACATCGTGCGATGTCCGACGGGATATACATCAATTGTGTGATCTGCGATATCGGTACATGTGACAAGGAAGTTTGTGGCGGTTTCACAGATTTTTGTCTGTGATCTGCACGCGCGATATTGGTTCCCGTAACACGTGAGTTGATCTCGCATGTTTTTTGCATCGTGAAATGCGAGTCTGCTGCGTCCGTGATCTGCAGTATTAGTTTCCGTGACACGCGAGTTCGTAGAGAGTTTCTGCATTTTTGTCCGTGATCTGTGCATGCGATATTGGCTCCCGTGACATACGAGCTGTCCCCGCATGTTTATCGCATTGTGAAATGCAAATTTGCTGTGTCTGGGATCTGCGGTATCGGTTCCCATGGCATGCGAGTTCGCGGCGGGTATTCGCACGTCCTTCGCACTGCATAAAACGAACCTGCTACATCCGCAATCAGCGATATCTCTTACCATGACACAGGAGCCCACCCCATGTTTTTCACCATTTATCTTTCATTTTGTGCTCCTTGTGGGATTCTATGGTAGTTACTTTGTCCTTCAACCTGCAAGTGTAACTCGTTACTGTTTAATAAATGGTAACTGTAACTGAACTGTAATACCTGACACTTTTACAATTACTACTTCTGAGTGTGTTCAGAAAAGGACAGTCATACAAATGTCATCTGCATTTTTTATTTTGAATTCAATTTTTATGAGGTGCAAAATGTGTCTTTACAACGAGGAAAACCTGCTTTTGCAAGATAGTGCTTCCTAGTTTTTGTGAGAAAAATCACATCTAAAAGGAGTTTGAAACGGCCTTCCCAGTTGGGCATTGACACAATTTACACAATTTTGGATGCCACAAGAATAAAGACTACAACTCCCTGCACCATCAAATAGTTTATATGTATAATGTAAAGTTCCCAAAGAATTCCCACCCAAAATGAAGAGATAAATAATGAAAAAATGGGCTGGGCAATGTTTAGGGATGCAACAGCAAAATTTTATCATAAATTGATGATAAACGCAAGGGAGGGGACACTACAAACTATGTGGAACGGGAACTGATATTGCAGATCGCGGACACGGCAAATTCACCATCCATGGTGTGTCCAACAGATTTCTAATTGGAACCTATGTTAATTTTTCACTAACGGAGAAGTTAATTTGATGAAACAATTTATAAGTTTAATTATCCAATGCACTGTGACCAATACAACGTCAATACTTTTTTTTTTTTGCGATGCATAGGTTTTTAGCAAAACCCTTGGCCGTTTTTTTTATCAAACACTGTGAATAACTTGCATGTTATATGTTAGAGATACCGAGGAAATAATTCTTAATAGTATTATACATAGCGAGGAGGCGAGTTTTCCTTGTGCTATGTTGCATAGGTGTACTGAGTTCTTGCATGTGGCCACTCTCGTCTGTGAAATTTGAGGATTATTCTTGGCATGTATGCGGTACAATCGGGTTTTCTTAACATGGACACCCCGCTATGTAGACAGAATATTCGGGGACCGATCTCTTCCCACACAATAAAAAGGTTGATTTAAAAAAGCATTCCATATTTACATCCACCAACAACAGTCTTCCCAGAAAGTTTCATTAGTTTACTTACACTGCATAGTTATCCTTTTATAAATTATTTTCGGTTCACCAATTCTAAAGAAATGGTAGGGGTTGGAACACTTTGAATGCATTTTTTTCTGTTCCACTTTTTGGCATAAGTTTCACTTTAGGAAAACTATTGTTTGTTAATGGGACAAGAGAAAAGACTCATTAATTGTTTTTCCTAACTGGAATTTTATGGGCAATGCAACTGTGGAATTTTTTTTTTTTTTGCTTTGTGCGACGGCATTAAAAGCAAAAACATTGATTTTTCACTGTGATGTTTGCATAAAATAAATTACGTTTTGGAAATTTTGTTTTCGCAGTTCAGATCTAGAGTAGAAAAATGTTGGGTATTACATTAGTTTCCTATTGATAGTTTTCCTAAACAAGGTCGGTGTGTTCCTGATAAAAGCAACTATAATTTCTTTTACAATTCATGTACACAGATGAAACTTTGCACTGTACTCTGCCTTGCAATTGCCAGTGTATACTGTCAATTTCATTCATATTAAGCCAAAGGTTCAAAAGTTGATCCTCTTGGGTAGTGTCCCCCCTTATATAGAAAACTGTTTGGGAACAAACTGGGTAAATAGATGCACTTTTTTCTGGTTATCATGGGCAGGAGCTTTCTGAACACAGTTCACAACATAATGAAAAAAAAAAAAAAATGATTGGTGAAGTCATTAGGTTTCAAGTACACCCAGAGCTTAGCTGCACTTTTGTTTGTTGGTTGCCCTTCCCGAGAAAAAAAAGAGAGTACCTGGGCGTTGAATAGAAGGTTCAATGTCCCATTTGGCTTGTGGGCCAAATGTGTGATCACTTTTGCTTCTTCTATTCTGTGCTATTCTCGCTCACCCCTTGTTCGTAGAAAGGAGCCGAGTGCTGATGAAGACCTGTTTAATCTTGGAGCTCGGTGTTCGGCGGCTTACTCCGCCATGGCTGAACCGTCCTCTTCCCCCGCCATGCGCTCATGCCCCGTGCCCTGACCCTGCGCTTGCCCCTCGCGCGCCCGTCGCATCGTCACCAAATTTTTGTGTCCAAAATCTGCACAGTATGTAGTGGCCTTGCATGATAAGCCTGAAGAACATTCGTAAGTCATGCTTACCCCTTGTGCACGAAGGCAAGGCTGGAAAACCACTTCCCTTGCCGCTTAGAATTAGGCTAGACCAGCGAAACGAGGTAAAGTTTGTTGTTTATTAATTTATTTGTGATCTTGATTCATTATTATGAAATCCGGGGAACAGAAGTGTCCATATTAGTGGCAGGTGACCGTGCAGCGTTTGAACAAGCCGCGTCTTCTCACTGCCCAGTTCCTGCTGGACAAGATGGTGGACCTGGAGCCCCTGCTGGGGTTCCTGGTGCAGGTGCCCCGGGTGGAGACACAGCACTCGATGGAGCTGCGCATCCAGAGCTGCCTCTCCCTCCGCCAACTGCTCGAGTGCGTCGAGCCCCTCAGGCTCCTTCTGTCCAAGGCAGGCCCAGACAGCCTGCTGGCACGCTACGCCTCTGTAAGGAAGATGCGCTACAACTGCGTTCTGTTTGAGTGGGCCACATTCCGGGTGTGAGTGCACCGCAGGTCGGAGCACAGTGAGGGAAAGCTTGCGCTGTGGAACCCAGGTATCCTAAGTTCTATGCCAACCCCTGCCCGTTTCGACTAAGCCAGAGGTTGTACCGGCCTACATTTGTGCCATTGCCACCGCGATCCTGCACGTTAAAGATCCCAGGTTAGCGGTCTCACTGCGCTGGCTAAATTTCTCGCCTACGAGCCATCTGCAAACGCTGTTCAGTCGTAAAAAGAACCCTGTAAATAGCCCTTGCGGACGCCCCGTACAGCATGCACCATCCATCGCTGTCGTATCTCGAGGGAAGCTGACCTCTTACTGTCTGAATATTCAATGTCTTATTTCATTTTCTTTTTTTTCCTGGAAACAAAAAGGGATGCTTGATAGGTGGTGCCCACTCGGGCGATCAAGATAATTGCGCGCCCACAAGCCCACTTGTTTGTATGGCTGGTGGCTACTGCCAGCCATTGCAAATGTTTAACGCAGAAGGTGTTATATGACTGGCTCCTAGCCGCTCCCTGTAACAGAAGAGAGTCGCATGAGTGCTGTGTCAGCATTCAGCTGGAACTCGTGTCCTCACTGACGGAGACCCGGCTGAGCACTGACGCAGCACCCTTGTCAAATCTGCGACCTGTGTTGGCCTCCGGTAGTTGGCGTAAATAATCCAGCGCTATGGCTATCTGAGGGGTGTAGGGCGAACACGCTCACACACATGCTAGGAGATATGTGCACGTGCATGCCACGCGTGCGCATGTTTTTTTTCGCGTGTGCATGTCGGGGCTTCTCAAGGAACAGCTTCTTTTGCTTTCCTGGCCTGACTCCGACAAGGATTGGGCAAGTTGACTGCAAGGTAGAGAGGCTGCGAGCGTCGGAACGTGAACGTTGTTCCCTGGCTGCATTGCCATGTCGGTGGGAAAAGGGGAAAAAAGTGGTCACGCACACGCTGCTCTTTGGCATTCTGTATGCCTTTGCCTTATGGCTGATTCACACGACGAACTGATCCACGAACGGATTGCTCACGTGACGACATGTCCACGGTTCGTCCATCTCTCAAGCGCATCACACGAGGAAAAATAAGGAGCAGACGTGAGCAAAGACGGACCGAACTTGTTCGCCACCTTACAGTGCCGCAAAACTCTAACATTGCACCGTGACGCACCGTTGTCCAAGAGAGAAATCGACGTTTGCTACCGCAGTAAAGAATCGTACACCGCTGTTACGTACAGATCGAGACAAAATTCCGTGACAGGCTTCGTGTGAAGTGCCACTAGCTTTATTAACCCAAGGCATGACAGTGACACAGTCATGGTCCCGCTCAAGAAGGGTTCGGCGTATAAGCGACGAAGTTCTGGGCTCGCAGAGGGGCGTTTGGAGATGCCTTCACACACTCCGCGCCTGTGCACAATACTCAAGCACACCGCAGCCACAAAAGAGTCTTGCGCAGTGAAAGGCTGATTTGACGTGCAAGAATTATCGCGGTGTGCTAGACTAGTTTTGACGGGAGTTTTTTTACACGAATCCGGAGGAGTATCGGAACCTGCATCACATCATCCGGACAAAGTTTCTGCAGTTCTTTCATGCGTGGAACCAAGAATCACACGACAAAATGAACCAGCAAACGCACAAAACACAACAGTGCGCCATTTTTGTTTTAATCGTAACAAAAAAAAACACAATAAAACGTTGTACTGTTGCCAGACTAAATGCTTTTCAAGTCAATCTCTCACCGAAAATCTGCGTGTGAAAAGGCGCTCAACTTTATCAGTCCGCGGACAAGGTGCGAATCTCAGGAATCGGTGACGTGCCGGTCACGGTGGTACACGGTTCGTGGACGAAAATCGCGATTCAGTTTGTCGTGTGATTAGGCCATCACCGGAGGAGGGGAAGCGCAGGTCGCCATGACTGTAATGATCTATTCGTGCACCTTCGTGATGGTTTGCGTACTTCCGGCGGCTCGCCCTTCGTAATAAGCGTGGTCGGCCGTTGAGACACTTCCATGCAATAACTCGGTTCAAAATTCACGCATTTCAGTCGGGACCATGTTAAACTTCAAATATTGGAATATTTTCAAAAAAGCGAGTTCGTTATAGCTAGGGTTTCGCGTTTTCGGTATCTATTTTTCTTCAAATTCAGAGGTTATTTATCAGTGTTTTTTTTTTTTTCTGTTGGAATCGGTGTTTTTTGGTGTTTAATTTCAATCCCGGAAAGAAATCGGTGATTACCGGGGCTTGCGTTGCAAAGCGACTGCATAATTACTAGAAAAACCACGGCACACCTCACATTACACACGTTTATTGAACGCATACCAAGCACGTCACACAATTAATGCACATGCATATGGAAATAACAGAAAGCGTGATGCTTTCAGAAGCATGATATCAACACTTAAAATTATTGAAAAAAATTGATATGTACAAATTATCAGACTTGTCACTCATCGGAGCACATTCCTTGTGGTTGAGGAAATGCAGTCCAGAAGACGCACGCTCCACATTTGCACCTGAAACGGGGATGGCAAGAAAATCAAAAGAAGCTTTTGACAAGACTGGCCATTCCTTGCTGTGCACTCTCTAGAAACTGCCAATGCAAACTTCAGCAGATGGAACTTTATACAATGAATATTCTAGGAGTTCCTCTTTCAAGGATGGTAGGTCGGCGGAGCTCACAATAGGCGAAAACAGACCACTGAAGTATTTTTCTGCTGTCATTAGTTCCTGCTTCCTGGCTGGGTCCACAACTTGCACTTGACGGCAGAAGTCATTTCTCAAGAAATGAAAACTAACCGGAATGTTCCTCTTCAAAACGGCTTCCCACTTTGCCTCAATCTCAAGGGAGTGTTCGCAAAAGCTGCACACAGATTTCTCTCGGACGTCAACGCTCATCAAGTCTAAGAGTATTCTGGTCTTTGTACCAAAAGCTTGCCATTCAGGAAGACATATTGGCTAGCAAGAGTGGACTCCAGACTAACCATGTTTGAATGCATGTGGCAGACTAGTACTTCCTCAGACTTAGGGATTTCATCGCTGTGGTTATCAGTTGGACATTCTCAGTTAGGAAGTTACACTTTGCAAAGAGTACAGCCATGTCTTCGGGGTCAGTGAGTGCTGCCTGCACCTTCTCGAGCTTTTTACCTTTGGCTGTACTGTTTACAGGCTGTTTGATTTCTAGACATGAACATCGCCGAGCGCTTCATAAAAAGAGTACCAGCACGTGAGAACCATAATGGCAAGTTGACGAACTGGCAATTTGAGGGACTTGCAGGCAGCGTGGAATTCGCAGCATACCTTCCTGGAGCTTTTAAGCATTGATGGTACACGAATTACCAACTCTCGCTCAGCACTGAAAGATGGTACCTTCATTGGCTCTGTCAAAACAACATTCAAAAGATGACAAATGTTTCTTATATGCACCGCGACAAAATCGGGGCATGACGCATTTAGTTTGCAAGTCATTTTCTGCATATACGATGCCGAGTCTGAGACCATCGCTGAAACATTGCTAAGAGTCTTATCCTACTTTGTGAGCACATCTTGAAGCAGAAGGCTTACGGTAGTGGAGTTACACTGCTTCAAAACGCGTAAGTCGGCGAGCACTGTTCTTTTAAGAAAATTAGAATCCGGGTCGGAAAACGTCAAAACCAAAGCAGCAGCTGGCCTCCCTTGCATTTCAGGAGTTTCGTCTATATCCGATACCCGACGATCGGCGACTAACTGGGTCACAGTCTCCTCATCCTTCGCGTACACTTCAGGAAGGTACTTCTCGTAGAGTTGGTTCGACACTGGTAGCGTTCTTGCAGCAGGGCAGCGAGTCCGGAAGAGCTTCCCCTCTGGACCATCAGCTTGGTGCAGTGCCACAACACTTTGGCACAAGCTCCGACAAAATTTGTGGGCGATCTCCTTGCCAGTCTTGCGTTTCTCCGCAAACCTTGTGATTGACTGGGCAAGTGTCATCTGAGCTGGCGACCCTGGATCAATTGAATAAGAGCACGAAAATCCATTAGTTTAAGATACATTAATATCTTTACAACTTTAGGTCACACTTGTGACCAGGTAGTCATTCTTGCAACTGGATTAAGAGATGTTGAGTGAAGATATTTGACATGTGTAGGACATACCTGGTTCTGTCCGGGGATTTTTTAACTGTAGATGTCGTAAAGATTTCAAATGCTCATTCGGACGACTGCTGATGTGATGAGGGTCTTCGGAAATACTTAGCCGGCAGCACTTGCACGCAAGGAGCTTCTTTGCACCTTCACACAAAACCTCAAAATCATCAAATTCTTGGACGTAGGCCTCCATCGCTTTCCGTTTTTTGCATTTCTGCGTTTTCTGGGCACGCGAAACTCGTCCGAACAGTGACTACGAAGTGGGCTGGCGTTGGCCTTCCGTACTCCCAGGAAAAGAGGACACAATCCGTGGATCCTATTGCCCTCCCCCCTTCTCTTGCCCCTCTTCCCCTTTCCTCCTTTCTTCCATATTGTAGTGCATTTTCTTAATGCCGAGGGAGACAACCAGGTAACAAACCAAACTGATTAACTTTATTTCACATAACGTAAGCCTTGTGCGTCTGTCTTCTACGCACCTCCATCCATCTCTGCCCTGCGTCGCCCCCTGACCTTTAGGGCTCTTCTAACGCGTACCGGATAGCGGGATGTGGCGCCTTCTGGTTTGCTTGTTCGACACATTTTCTCTTGCTTTTAAAAAGAAACCTCAGCAAAACTCCACTGCATAATCCTTCAACTGGGGTGGTCTCGTGTTCCTTGTTGATCGGACTGGCAGCTGTCTTTGCGGTGCTCGAGGGGTCGCTTCAAGCGGACCAATGGAGTCACCAGGAGCATTCGTGTCAGCGTGTCGATCGTCTTGATTTGTGACCGTAGTGTCTCTAATTGGATTGTCAAAGTCATTGTCAGTTGCAACTTCACAAGTCTTCTCAATCTTCTTGAAGAATGATGAGTTTCGAATCGTTCTCTTGCCACCTCTTTTTGCATTTATAGCTGTCCCTTGTACACGTGTTACCGTATAAGGGTCTGGGTCATATTGGGACTCGTGTGTTAGAGTCACAGGCTGTTTCAGTAGCACGTAATCTCCTTTTTTGAAGGTTATGAAGCACAGCGTGGCGTTTCCTGTCGGCATACAGTTTCATCTGTGCCTTCTTGAGCTGATCTCTTTTTCTCACTTGGCCATCATTCCTTGTGGTGGTGACTCAGGGAGCTTCGTTTTCATTTTCCACCCGTAGAGTAGTTCTGCTGGAGAGAGGCCTGTTGTCCCTTGTGACGTCGCCCTGTAGTTCAGCAGGTACTCTTGCAGTTCAGTTTCCCACCTTTTCCCCTCTACTGTCGCTGCCTTGACAGTCTTCTTGATGTTTTTCATGAATCTTTCCGCTTCCCCATTAGCCTGTACGTGGCCACAGCCGTGTCACCCTATGGTGTTTTATTCCGTTTTCAGCCATGAACATGGCAAAATCTTGACTGAAGAACGACGGTCCATTGTCAGTCTTGACGCTCAGCGGCAGGCCGTGAACGGAAAACATTTCTTGCATTTTTAACGTTACTCCTTCAGTGTTCAGAGATGGCAGCGACGTCACCAGAGGAAACTGTGAGTATTCATCCACTACAACCAGGAGATACTTTCCTTCTTGAAGGGGACCTGCAAATTCTGCTGCCAATGCCTGCCAAGGACCAGCAGGAAGATCTGTCATTTTGAGTGGTGGTGGCTTCTTTTTCGACACTGTGCTCTGACAGGCTCGGCAGTTCTTCACCACCGAGTGTACTTTCTTATCCAACCCAGGGAACCAGTTTTTTTCTCGAATGAGCTGCTTAGTCTTCACGACACCTTGGTGTCCTCTGTGAGCAATTTCTATCGCTTTTAGATGTAGAGTCTCTGGGAGTATTAGCCTCGTGCCTCTCAAGATGACATCGTTGTCAGTGACAGTGAGTTCTTGACGGATGTGAACGAAAGACCTTAATGTCTCTTCTCCCCACATCTTGTCTGATGCCCTTTTATCCTCTTCTAGGATGGCGCTCTTCAGTTTCTGCATGAGTGGGTCTCTATCATAGGCCTTCTCCACCTCCTCCATTGTCATCTCTTTTGGCACAGCCGTGGTGGACACGTAGCAAACATATTCTCGAGTGGCTCTGCTTTCTTTGGACTCAAAGGCAGAGTCTCGGACTTGTCTTGACAAGTAGTCCATGGGGTTGTTCTTTCCAGGGATGTGTTCTACCTTGTAGCTGTACTGCTGCAGTCTCAGATTCAGACATCCCAACCTGGCTGACAGCTTCGCACTTGGATTCTGGAGGATGGAGACTAGGGGCTTGTGGTCTGTTTTGATTGTGAAGACTCCTCCTGCTAGGTACACCCTGAAATGTTCCACTGCTGATGCTATTGCCAACATGTCTTTGTCGATCTGGGGATATCGTTGTTCTGTCAGCGTGAGTGCTCGGCTATAGTAGGCCAGGATGCTGAGCCTACCGTTTCTTGATTCTTGAGTAAGCATGGCACCCAGTCCACTTGGACCGGCATCTGTGATGAAAGATGTGTCTGTTTGTTGTCGTCATAGTAGTCGAGCGAATGTCTGGCAGCCATTTCCATCTTGATCTTGTCTAGAGCCTCTTGGTGCTCTTTGGTCCATTTGAAGACATTCTTGCGTTCTTGGCATGAGTCAGCACTCGGAGAGGTTCGGCCATTTGCGCTAGTCTTGGGATGAACCTGCTGCTGTAGTTTACCATACCTAATTGGCTTCGGACCTCAGACGGATTGCTCGGTGGGGCCATCCGAGTGACCGCTTCTACCTTGGCTGGGTCCACAGTGATGCCCGATGCTGAGAAGACGTGTCCAAAGAACTTGAGGATGCTTGCACCGATCACAAACTTCTTTCCATTCAGGGTCAGTCCGGCATCCTGGAGGGCCTTTAGAACCAGGCGAAGTTTGTTGTCGTGTTCTTCTACTGTTTGCCCTGACGGGGGGGAGGGGGGGGAGGGAGGGGGAGTGTGGTTTTAAACTGGTCTTGTTTTTGTTTTAAACGCGTTCGCATGAGAACACTCTTTTTGACCAGAACCTAGCCATGTCTATCAGTTTGTCAGTGGGGGGGAGAGGGTGACGCATGCGATGCACCTATTGGTCCGAAGCACTGACGTCAGCACGTGCCACCCTCTCCCTCTCTTCCCGGCAATGACAAACTGACAGACACCGCCGGGTTTTTGTCAAAAAGAGTATTTTCACTTTTGTCAAAGGAGCGTCGTCGCACAGCTGGCACGGAGCTAGAGAGGAGGTGGCACCACTGTGCGGTGGAAAGCGGGCGTGCTCAGTTACCGCTCTGCCGTCACCAGCTGTTCTTGCCTTTGGCTTTCCGTAGTAGTGGTGCGTGGGCTGTGATATGTGTGTAGTTAAAACGATGGATGCCGTTCCATCCACGAGTGATGGATGCGGTTCCTTTCATGAGTGGTATGGATGTGGTTCTTTCCACGAGTGATATGGATGACCGTATCCAAGGGTGTCAACATACTCTGAGAGGCAGAATACAGAAAAGGGGTGAAAAAAAATCAGTGTTAACATGACTTTTGGGAAATGCCACACACGTCCCCGTTTGGGAAATGCTAACACTGACCCCGTAACAAGGCCAAAAAGAGGCAGCAAGAAATAGAGGAATCAAAAAAGCCAAAACGGAAAAGTGAAGGGGTCAGCGTTAGCATTGTGTGGCGTTTCCCAAGGGTCATGCTAATAACACATTCCCTAAAAATGCACTGATGGATCTTTTTATTTTTTAAAAAGTGATTTGGGTTTTCTTTCTTTTTTTTAGTTGAGTTGAGATGAATGAGGTTTTAGAGTGTGTCCTCAAGTGGATCTAGAACATGTCTTCAGTCATCTGCTTGTGAGGGGTGCAAGGTTCCACTAGGGGATCTGCTAAGGGCCGACCCGCTCTTGCGGAGGAAGGTAAGGGCTCTTTCTAACCTTTCCAGATGGTCTTGGGCGAGCAAGCCATACCTGAGAACTCTGCGTCGAGTCGCCCCTCTGCTCACTTTTGTGCTCGTTGAAAATGACCTTGCTCCTCCAACTTCGTATGGAAGGTCCCTCTCTTATTTACAAATAGTGTGAAGAGAAAGGTTTTCAGCACTGCTGAGGAAGGTTGTTTTGTTTTTTACCTTGGCACTCTGCAGGACCTGCAAAACGATCGCTATGCTCGGCTGGGCGAAGTCGCCGGCGTGGTGACCCATAGCAACGTGAAATACCGCAGGGACTCGTGGCAGAAGGTGCTCCAGCTCTGCGATGCTATAAAGGTGATGCACCATTGAGTAAGCATGCGGTGTAGAAATTCTTGAGACTTTGGCCATTGCAGCCTGAAATTAGCATTTGATGGTTTTTTTATTAGAAATATAAATACAATCGAACACGGATATATTGAATTCAAAGGGGATCGTAAAATAGTTTGATAATTTGATATACAAAAGTATACGCTTAGTTAAGCTCCAGTTGAACTTTTTGCGCGTCTCCAATAGTACCGAAGGTCGTGAAAAATGGGAGCTTACCAAATAGAGAAAACCCGAGAACCGCTAGATGCAGTAAAACCTTGTTAGAGCATACCGTATTTATTTGAATATAATAACTCAACCTTTTTTTTTCCGGAAATGTTGTCAAAAATTAAGGGTCAACCCTATAATCGTGACCAAAGAATTTCGACCAAGTGAGCCAAGTGCTTTGCCAACTGATTGGTGGTCAAGACACGCAAAAACAAAATTATTTGCACAGCGTGCGAAAGCGCGGTCACACGCTTCGCGGCCTTTCCTCTGTTATGCTGCACAATCTAGCGGCGTGTGTTAGAAATGAGAATGAATCTTCGATAAGCGGTGCTGTCAGAGGTCGGCATTTTAGGTCGCCCTCACTCACCCTCACAGCCACACTCACCTAAGCCCCTCACTCACACTCACCCTCACAGCTACACTCACCTTCAGCCCCTCACTCACCCTCGCCCTCACAGTCACACTCACCTTCAGCCCTTCACTCACCCTCACTGAACCTCACGCACTCACCGCCCTCACGGCCCTCACGCCCCTCACCGCCCCTCACCGCCCTCACGGCCCTCACGCCCCTCACTCACTCATGGCCCTCACGAAACTCACCGCCCTCACGCCACTCACGGCCCTCACCGCCCTCACCGCCCTCACGGTCCTCACCGCCGTCACGGCCCTCACGCACTCATGCCCCTCACCGCCCTCACCGCCCTCACCGCCCTCACGCCACTCACCGCCCTCACGCCACTCACCGCCCTCACGCCACTCACCGCCCTCACGCCCCTTACCGCCCTTGCGACCCTCACACCCCTCACCCCCCTCACGCACTGATGGCCCTCACGCCACTCAGGCCAGCTTCAGATGGGGCAATTTCGCCCAGAAACTTTACGTCGCAACACCAGCAACACGGGCCGCCCGCGATCATACGCAGCAACCAATTGCTGCAATTTGCCATCGTCAACATATAATTTTATTTTTATTGCACTATTTAGACACAATTACGCGTTATAAACGTGTTTTTCTGCATTTAAATCTCGTTAAGAATACTAATGCACCTTTCTGAAACAGTTTACAGTGTAGACCGCATATAACGTATGTCTCGGGAGTCGCGAAAATCCGCACTATAAGCGGTACCGCGCTATAACCAAAGCATCAATTTTTGAGGCTAAAATACATGCCATGAAACAACTTACCTTTGTAAAAGAATTTATTATGTTAGATTAAAAATAAAGCTTAGTTTGAGGAAAGTCTTTATTTCACCAGACTAGTACAGTTCTGTCTCAAGTGTGTCACACATTTTGAAAGAAATGAGCGGCTTTTGCCTGGCGCAGCCTTTTAACGGCGTCGCAAGTTGCGGACGGACGTTGCGAGCGTTCAGGATTGCTAACCCTAATCACTTTTCTCCGGAGATGAAAACGCGTGAAAATTCGCATCCTTCATACGTACGCGCCAGTAATACCTTGAACTTGAGCACACGCATGAAATGCGCCAAATAAGAAATCCGGGCGATGTTCGAGGACACAAATGCTTAGAAATCACCTCTGTAGTCGAAGTAAACAAACACGACGACACGGGCGTTTCTGCCGTCTTGAGAGCGCCGCCACGACATCGCCGCACGAGTAGGTGGATCTTCCCTTCTAGTACTACGTGCTGGGTTATCACAGCGACACACAACGAAAATTCACAGTCAAGGATAGCGCTTTTACGCAGAACGATGAGATGAACGCCGTCTACGACGACGATCACAACCGACGCCATGTTTACGGATAGCAGCAGCCGGCCCGCGACCGGAGAGGAGGAGGAGGAGGAGAAGCGTTGTAAGAGAGGTTGGGGGGGAAAGGAGAGAGCATGCAACGCGCGCGAACACTTCTCCTCGACCTGCGATTGGTCTGTCGTTGCGGTTGTTTGTTTCTTTGTTTCCAAAGCAGCGGAGGGACGCACGCACGTGAACGACACGTGCGTGCGTCCCTCCGTCGCTAAGGCAACTGAAGCCTCTCTCTTCGCTTCTGCCCGCTTTTTCGAGCAACACCCTTGCCCCGCTAGTGCAGCGTGCGGCTAGGGCCTACTACGTGCGGTTCGCGCCGTCAGCGCCGTTATCTAGTGTCGCACAGGGAAGCGAGCTCGCTGCTCCGGTCGTCGGCGCGGTCGGCGGGCTCTGCCAAAAACCGCACTATAACCGGTATTTCCCTTCGCGCGCCTGCATTTTAAGCGGTATGTAATTACATGGAGTTCTATGGGAGGTGAACCGGTGGTTTAAAAAAACCGCGTTATACCCGGTCCTGCACTATACGCGGTTACGTTGTAAGTGGTCTATACTGTATTTCCCAAAAACGATTGATTTCAAACCAGAACCAAGTCTTTCGGTGTCATCATCACCGGCACGAGGTATCACGTGAAACTTTTGCGTCCCTGATTGGATGCAGCCGCTTCAAACGTATTCGATTTGCTTCGAGTTGCTTGCTTATTTCGAGCCGGACCCGATCTCAGCAATTCGTGTCGATCTAGGGAAAGCTAGAGAACAACCCGTCATTAACACCAAAATTGCTGAGAAAGATGCTCGATCTGAAGGGGGCCTCACGCACTCACCGCCCTCACGCACTCATGGCCCTCACACACCTCATGCACTCACCACCCTCACGGCCCTCACGCCTCTCATGTCTCTCATGCCACTCACTGCCCTCATGCACTCATGGCCCTCACACCCCTCACGCACTCACCGCCCTCACGGCCCTCACCACCCTCACGGCTCTCACCGCCCTCACCGCCCTCACCGCCCTCACCGCCCTCACCGCCCTCACCGCCCTCACCGCCCTCACCACCCTCACCGCCCTCACGGCCCTCACTCACCCTCACACTCATGAATTTTCCTGGTTCAGAAACTCACTCACCCTCACCTCACCTGTGAGGATGAGGGTGAGTGAGGGCCCTCATGAGTGAGGTTTGCCGAGGTATGGGTGCTGTCCAGACGTCCTCTTCTTTGCTGAAAGGCTAATCTTATATTCTGTGGTTACCAGTCTCTGTCAGCATGATCAAGCTTGTGTAAATTTTTCCTCTACTTTTCTGTTGCTCTCTCTTACGCTAATTCGCTGGGGAAGCCCAGAGTGCGCTCGCTTGATGGAGCAGAGTGCCAATGTCTGAACAGATGATATCTTGCCCCCGCCGGGAGTGACACGAAGGCACTCAAGGAAGAATTTCGGCTGTCACTGGTGTCGAGTCAGTGAGGAGACGAGTGCTGTGTCAGCATTTAGCTGGCAGTCGGCCTGTTGACTACTGTTGCTGGCACCTAACCATTGGTATGGTTAAGTGCCAGCTATATAATGCATTCTGTGTTAAAAAAGAACTGACGCAAAAATTAGGCAGCAAACGAAAGCCAAAACAAAAACAGCAAAGCAAAAGTGGCAAAAGAAAAAGGTAAAAAAAAAGATGCAAAAGGCATTCAAAGCAGGATTGTACATTTGTTGTGGACACACTCGACTAGCCGAAAACATTTTCTTTTGGCTAACGAGTCGAGGCAGAGTGTGGTTTTCCCTTTCTGCCTCTGCACCTTTCGCTGCCCATGGCCAGAGTCGTTCATCCTCAGTGCGCACAAACAGCATAGCGACGGCAGTGTACGGGAAAAGCATGCCTACCAGGGGCGCGGTGTGCGGTTTGATGTATCAAATGTCTCAGGTTGTGAAGTTCAGTATAGACGCACAAGGCACATACATTTTTTACATGGCATTTGAAGGGGATATTTTGACTGTTCAAAGTAGCCAATATTTCTATATACCATGGGTTCGAAATAATTAGGCTCGAAAAATTACCTGTCAGATAACAGAATCCAACTGTTTGCCAAATTCTGCTTTGGTATACCTCTTACATATAGTTTTGGCTACATCTATAAATAAGCATTTTCTGGCCTTCTCCAGGGGTGCTTTTCAGTGTTAGAGTGCGCATACATTTTATGTACTTTGATCTCTCCTATGCACTCCTATACGCATTTGCAAGTACGGCCTCAGGGCGCCACCATCTTGCTCACTTGGGGTGCGCATGGGCACGGCCATAATCCGATTACTACACCTTGCTAAGGCATCCCAATCGGATTATGGCTGCGCCCAAGCGCACCCTAAGCGAGCAAGATGGCGGCGCCCGGAGGCCGTACTTGCAAACGTGTATAGTCAGTGACAAGAGAGTAAAGTGGAAGCTCCTCCCACCTCTTTCCACTTTGGCAGAGCGAACGCTGGAAAGGAGGTCGCCTCCTCTCCAGCATTCGCTCTGCTAAAGTGGAAAGAGGTGGGATCAGCTTCCCCTGAACTCTTAACCTGTCACCAACAATAGTGTTCTTTTTTCCCCCCATGGTTACGAAAGATAAAAGTGAGAAAAGCGTGCATGACTCATGAAACCACTGATTTCACCACAGGCAGTGCAAGAGGAGAGCTCTGATTAGCAGAATCATTGGCTTTTGAAAATGTTCTTAAAACAAAATGCTTTTTTTTTTTTTTCATTTGGAAGTCTTTTATTACCATAATTGCAATTTTATGCACTTGCTAACTCATTTCAAGCCATAATCAATCTTCTTCTGCTGGCACAGCCTTTTAGTCACTGGTGCCCAATGTCACAGTCAAGAGCGTTCTTGCAGCATATGACCGGGAACTGAACTGGCTGGTATGATGCTAGTTGTTACGTTGACGCGAGCTGAACATATGACCGAGAAAAATTATCACAACTACATAAATGTGGTGAGAATCAGGCTGTCAGTATTGGCACTCTGAATATAATTTATTGGAATAGGGTAGAACTCAGTTTTACACCCCACCTCTCTCTTCGGAATTCAACAAACCCGAGCAGCATTGGTTTCACCTTTGCTGAGGTGAAGCTAAGATTGTGGTAGGTCTTTCTGGATTTCAAAATCCCAACATTTCCGGAGATTCAAACAAATGTAAGCGAGCCGTAACGAAAATAATAGCAAAGAGTGTAAGAGAATAAAATCTAGCACGTCAAAACTGCCCAAGTGTACATCTATTTTATACTTGCGTGTTTTGTCCTCTTGTTTTTGTGGGATGATCATGGATTGCACACAAACTGCTCTTTGGAAGTGTAGCTCAAAGCACTGACACTCACTTTATCTGCATCCCAGTGACTTCAAAGGCCTGCCCCACACTTTGACGAAACATGATTTTTGGGCTGAGTAAGAGTGGTAGAGCTGCCCATTGCAGCGGGCAACACTGACTCTCTTTTGTGTGCAGCCAGACGTCAACGGCCTCCTGGACATTGCCCGGAGGACCTTTTCGGAGACCTACCAGGACATTCAAGGTACTTGTCAAAGTGAACTGCTCTTAACCCAACAGCCTGTCTTTCTGACCATTTCTAGATGTCTGTGCTAAAAGGTCCGCCAATAATAGAAAGAGGAACACATATATCTGTTCAAGGATGCTCATACGATCAACAGTCTTCCCGAGCCACTTTTAGCATTCTATGTGTCGTTTTTTTGAGAAAATCATTATGAAGTACTGTCGAAAAGGACCATCAGGAACGAGCATTATGAAGAAGCATCATGGACGGGCGACACACTAGGAGCGTGTTACCGTGACTGTGGTGAGGGACAAAAAAAGGGAACTTTAAAGTCTAACATTTCTCGTTTCACGTAATTTGTAAACCCCCCCCCCCCCCCCCCCCCCCTTTCCCCCGTGCTTATCACCAATTTGTTTTTATAAAATTCTGCTATGGCATTTTCGAACAGCTTGTCCTATGTTTTTTGCCATTTCTCTTTTCATTTTGTGTGGGTGATCTTTCAGGACTTTGCGGCATATATACATACCTAAGAGCCTGCTGGCAAGCGTTCACTATCATTGAATCTCTGGGAATTCAGCGATAATTGCTCTACAAAATTAAACATACACATGTGGCATACTTTTCTTTGCCTGTTAGGGTGTTCGCTTTTGCTGAGACCGTTTCTGCCCTCCTCATTTGTGTCGTAAAAGTAACAATAAAAGCGATATTTGGTTGACTCATCTGCAGCGACCCCGGAAGTGTATTTTACATGGGGGGGGCTAGCGGTCAATTTACATGAATATGAAACATGAATATTTTACTGTTTATAGAAGGGTTATTATCACTACCTATACCGTGTGCTCATACATTCAGACTAGGACAAGTACGCCTCTTCAAAGTCATCACATTCCAACCCGATATCATCTCATCAATTCATTTATTTACTCACATTTTACATATGGGGACTTGAACAATAAAGCAAAACATACAACAAAGTAATCTTGGTGGCTAAAGTATTTAGGGCTCAAACTGCCTCGTCCACCCTCTTCTAATAACTGAACTCTCGTGTCCCGAACTAACAGACTTCTGCATACAAATAATACAAAAAATAATTCAGACTAAATGTGATTGTAATATAGCAAACTCTATCATTATGGGCACATTCACAGGCATCTCTTATGAAAATCAAGGAGGTATTTTCAAACTCCTCTCCTACATGCTCTGTTTTAAGGGTAAAATGTTTCTATTAGTTTTGGAAATGGTCTTGTTTCTTCTAAGTCCAGTATTTTAGAACTTTGCAGCCATTTGGGCATATTACTCTAAGCCAGGGGTGGCCAAGCTGCGGCTCGCGAGCCGCATGCGGCTCTTCGCTTGCTAATGTGCGGCTCGCGGCTCCCTCTCCTACCCCCCCCCCCCATCCAAAAAAAAAAAGGAATAGAACACGTTTGGAATGGAAAGACAGGTTGAGGTTCGGTAGTCCTGTGCTACTGCTACTTTACGCATAATTGGACTGCTTTTGACTCACAGAGATTGAAAGTAGTTCCAGTTTTGTTTATTGCTCTGGACAAAAGCTTGCCCCCCCCCCCCCCCCCCCCCCCCTCCCACCCCGTGGTTCTTGGAAGTTTCATGCTTTTGTTTGCGGCTCTTAGGCCGGGTCAGCCTGGCCACCCCTGCTCTAAGCCATAGGTGGCCAGGCTGACCTGGCCCAAGAGCCGCAAAGACAACCACTAAACTTCCAAGAGCCGTCTGAAAGAGTAAAGGCAGAAAAAAAAAAGGGGGGGGGAGGGGGTCCGAACTTTTTAGACCAATAAATGAAACTTGAACTGCTTTAGATCTCTCGAAGTCAAAAGCAGTCCAACTGTACGTACATGTAGTAGCGGTAGCACAGGACCAAAGCGCAACCTGTCTCAATTTAAAACTTGTTCCTTTTCTCTTCTTGGGGAAGTGCTCATGTGACCGGCAGGGAGGCGGGAAAGGAGGTGGGGGGGGCGGGGTGTTAGGAATACTAGGGAGCCACGAGCCACACTTTAACACGCAAAGAGCCGCAGTTTGGCCACCCCTGCTCTAAGCTAAGAATAAAAAGTCATACCTCAGAGGCTCACAAAAATAACTGCAGCGATCATATCACTCAATCGCAGAAAAGGTGTCTTGCACTGGGAGATCAGACACGGTCTCCAAAGCAGTTGCTTGCAGTCACTGCCTCGAAAACTTTTGGGGGACGTCTCAAGAGCCGGCTCGTTGAAACAATTGTTAGTGGTTAGAAAAGAATGCCTCGGGAGGTTCACCAATATTTCTTTTTGCTTGTTTTAAACTTGTTTCGGAGGAAACTTTCCATATGGAACTATGTTAAAAGACCAAAAACAAAAAATAATTTGTAGCATGTATGTTGCTCGTGCAGCCTTCCGCAACACTTGCTTGCCTTCCAACTAACAATTGTCCGTACAACGCGTCGAGGGTGCCCCAGTACAATAGAGAACTCCGTGGCCGTCCTTCCGTCTGGTTTCAATTAGAAGAGACCCCAAAGGGACCGCCAACGTCGACAGCTTTGCTCCCTCCGACAAAAAGGATGGGAGGCAACGCTTACAATTTGTTGCTCTGGCACAGTTTTTTTACAACGAGCTCACAAACACCAGCTCGTCTAAAAAAAACCGCTTCCCCGTCGAAGAAAAAAAAAAAAAAGGGTGTGGGGATCAGGGCTGAGAAGCTCCTCTTAGCTTTGTTCCACCTTTAGGTCTGAGCTGTTCTGAACTAAAACCGACTAGCAACTTTGTTTGTTTTTTTTCAAATTTCCGGGGATTAGCATTGCAGCCCCCTTAGCCTGTACCTTAATTCAGCCCTGGGGTATAGAGAGGCCTTGAGCCAAATGCATGGGGGCTCAGCATATTGCCCAGCACCCCCTGGAAAATGACAGCCGGTGCTCAAGCCCCCGTGGCCCCCCCCAGTTCCAGGGTCCCTGCTCATCTGTAAACTTTCTTGTAAATGACGTACATGGCGAATACACATGCTGGCACACAAATAGCAAGCCGGCATGACGACAAGGAGAACAGTGGGAATGTCGTGCTGAGCGACGCAAGCTCTATAAACCTTTGTGCTAGAACGTATATCCAAGCAATTGGCTTGTGAGGAAAACCTTTTGTTTTATCGTCTTGCTTGCTAGTTTCGTCAGTCACTTTTTTTTTATCAATCTCCGAAACAATCTTTTTATTATTATTCTATTCGGTCATGATTTTTCTAGTAAGGGCTTAAGCGCATATGTATGGGGAGGGATGTTATCATTAAGTTTTAAACATTTTGCATTTGTACTTTTATCAAATGGAGTAACTCTGTTAATTGAGTATTGGAATACATTTATGTTTGCTAAACAGGGACTTGGAACATTTGTATTTTCTAATAATGAAAATTAGTCAGTAAGTATTGGGCTAGTTCATACCATACTATTGCATCTTGAAATGGTTTGGTTTTCAACTTATGCTTGTGATTTGGGTTGTTAATTAAGGGGGGACACTACTTTGAATTGTATCTTTTATCAAAAAAATTTATATTCAGAACTGCAGAGTTTTGGCATGTATGGATAACGAGGAACACTCTCACAAAGTCTTGTCAATGTGCACTGGCAAACAATGTCAAAAATAATTATTCTTTATATGTTGGTGTGCTGCACTGCATAGCACTCGTCATCCACAAGTGAAAATAGCTGAAAGCAATGTCAGTATATCAGAAGAAGTTTGAGGAAGACACCACCTACACTGTTGGAGAGAATTTCTAAGATTTAAGACGCAAAAAGAAATTTTAAAGCGTCATCGGGAAACTTCAAGTGCGTTTATTTCAGCTTCACTTTCGGCAGCAAATCCCACCTTAATAAAACTATCGTTTCAGTATGAAACTACCAGTCTTGGGTAAGTTACTTTTAAAAAGTAATTCGTTACAGTTACTTTAAAAAAAGTTGCGAAGTTACCGTTACAGTTACCGCAACAAAAGAGTAACTCGTTACAGTTACTTTTAAAAAGTAACGACGTTACTTTTCAGTTACTTTTTTATAACGCGAAAATTTTAGGAAAAATTAAAAAACGCCCCTCAGCAAGAAATTAAAAAGTATGCTTTTTACTTTATATTGTAATTTAGCTGCAGTTGCTTCCCGAAATTAGTGTCGTAAATTAAAAAAAAAATATATAGAGACACGAAACAGACGGGCTTCCACCATAGCGGTAAATTCGAACTTTATAGGTCAGCTAGAAAATTCGTCAATATTATGAAAAGAATAAAGACCGAAATTCGAATAAATGTGGTTTGTCAGATTCGAACACGAAGACTTGTTGTCGGAGTACTCCTTATTGCAAAGTTTGAAAACTGCGGTCAAACTGTTGGCAACCACCTTTACCACAGCAAAATACTCCCTGTACGCCGGCCATGCTAGTTCTTTTTTCTCATCAAAATCGCTATCCTTGGTAGCACTAGCACATTAGTGGCTCGTTGACGGTTGTGCTGGATTCATAGAATCCTTGGACATATTTCAGTCCATACCCGGCAAGCCAAAAACAAACCTTGAGCAAACAGCAGTAAATTTTGTCTCCACTGTTGACACCGCGCCGGGGTAGTGGCGCAAATCAAAATACGAAACATACGAAGTGCCCTCCGCGTGTATTGTTGTTTCACGGTTGAATCACCCTATTAAAAAGCGTTCGCAGAAAAAAAGAAAACCCGGAACAGAGATAGTGCTTCAAGATACTAAGATGTAAGTGTTCAGTCACAAAGTACAAGCACGTGCGTGTAAATAACTAGATTCTTCTTCTTTTTTCTTTCATCAAATCTACACATGGCTATATTCGGGTCGTGACCAGCGAGAAAGAACGTATTTCCAAGTTTGTGCAAGGCCAACTGACACTCAAAATGTCGGAACAGACAATTTGGAAAGCGCAAGGAATAGCTAGGTTATACTCGTTCAATGATATATTATTAATAAAGAACTGAAAAGTAACGACAAAAGTAACGTCGTTACTTTCATCGTTACCTTAGAAAAAGTAATAGAACTACAGCTACAAGTTACATTCTTAAAAAGTAACTCGTTACAGTTACAAGTTACCGAAAAAGTAACGAAATTACAGTAACGCTTTACTAGTAACACGTTACTACCCAAGACTGGAAACTATTTGCGGATTATATGCCGAAATTTTATCGAGCCGGTTACTATGAACTTAGATTTTGCATGAAAAATTGTAATTTGCAAAACTTGGCAAATGTAAAAAACTCATTTTTTTTTTTTTTATTTGAAAAATGCATATTTTCTGAAATTTCATAGTAACCTGGAACAAGTATTCCAGTATGCATTCCACCAGAAAAATATGTGGTGATCAACACCTTTTCTCAACGATAGATTCATTGAGCAGATTCCATACAAAGCTATGTTCTGGGGGTATAGCACCTCATAAAATTGGTTCAGAGGGCCGAAACTTTGCATGCCCTCCTTCTATATGGCTACAAACACTACCTGCAAATTTCACGCCAATTGAGTGAGCAGTTCAAAAGTAGACATGCCTAGGGAGTGTCCCCCCCTTAAATAGGCACATCATTTTGTTTTCATGATGCTTAAGTTGTGCTTCCTTTGTTGACTATGCCTCCTATTGGAAATCCATAAGAGGGACCAACCCACTTCTAGGACAGTTCTCAATGGCTGCCATTCAGATAAATTGCAAGTATGCTGTTGGCTTTCTACAGCGGAGCTGTTAAGGGCTAGGTTCCCAAGGATCGTGTCCGGTACCAAACAAATGTCGACACAAACCTACACAAATCTCTGGACAGCTACCGCCATATATAAACGACGGCGGCAACCAGACAACCAGTCTGGTTGCCGCCGTCGCTCATAGAAGCGGCAACCTTTCCAGCTATCATAGAAGAATGGATAGTTGGGCGCGTTGGTGGGAATGCATCGTAGGAAACAGCGCGCAAAACAGATGAGGACGAAAAAGAAACGCGTGACGTGCGCTGCGCCCGTCACGTGTGTTTCTTCTTCGTCCTCGTCTGTTTCGCGCGCTGTTTCCTACGCTCTTATCAGTTTCGGTTTGGACTCACTATGGGTTGGCCGCGTGCCCTTTCTTCGGGGAAAGAAAACCAGGTGCGGAAAGTGCGGTGACGTACGCAGCAGCATGAATGGGTTCGCAACCGCCGTGAAGCCGCTGCCGCCTCGAGTTCCACTGCGTTGAGCGCTTCAGATTCCCTCGCGAAAAAGGAGCACATCGCTCACCTGGAAAGCCGCTGCTGAGAGCAGAAGCTACAGCTCTGCTGCTCTTCCTTCTTCCCCAGAGTGGAAAGGCTGAAAGTTTTATGTTATCGGCTGAATTATATTTAAGGGAAGGGTATGTTTGGAAATGGTTCTGGAACATCACATGGAGATGCTCTTTTGTTGTGATATTTTTGTATTTAGAAAAACACCTCTGCGCTTATAGCCCCAAGTTTGACATGGGTGACAGGCTCCAGGATTTACTTATACTGCTACGAAACTCTACTTTTGTGGCTCCCGAGCTGTTCCAAAGCAGAAATTTTCTGCTCCAAAGCTGCTCTAAAGCTGCTCCAAAGGGGCATCTTTGCTGCTTCCAGACTTGCTACCAGAAGTTGAAGCTTGCTTCCACCCCTGTGATGAAGAGCGCCGTGAACATAGGCGTCTGGCTGAACGGGCTAGACGTAGTGCTAAATAAAATTCGCTAAACATTGGTGATGCTAGAACTTTTTATGTATGTAATTGTCTAGCAATTTTTTATGTTATGGATATTAGCCAGAAAAACTGGATGGGCGATCTCTCGGGGGAGGGTGCCCTTACGGGATTTTTCGGTAGTCTCATTCAGATAGTCTGGGAACTTGCGGACCAGTCACGGTAAGCTTCCGAACCAACTGTACGGAGGGCTGTAAAGCATTTTTTTTAACACCGAGCGTTTGATTTCCGAGCTATTTAAGGGGTGCTTAGAAAACGCGGCTAATATAGACAATGGTGTGCCCCGTACAGACCTGGTGGAGAAGGAACTGGCTGAGGAACTCCAGCTGCCAGTGAAGCTGGCTTACTCCACCACACGAGGCCTCTATGCTCGGCTGCTTTATAAGGGACAGCCGCCGGTCCTGCCGGACACGTGTGTCATGGTGGCCGCCACTAAGACCTTCCTGTCCTTCACCACTGACCGCCTGGTGAGTGCTCGGTCTCTCCACTAGTGGCGCCACTATACTCCATTTTGCCTTTAGGCTAGTTTGCAGATTTGCATTTTAGTGCGCACAAGCGTGTTACGTTCCCTCGTAGCTCCTGAGCACGCTTAACACACTGGCATCATCTATTGGGCAGCCAAAAAACACATCTGACTTGTGTATGTGTTTTTATATTTTTTACCCATCATTTTTTCTCGTGAGCTCGTAATAATTTGGACAGTGTTATAAGCGACTGTTTCTCATAGTGCATATATTTGATATTGCAAACACTGCGAAACCTTCAGTTTAGATATACATCGGGTGCGTAGCAGACAGCCTGCTATCATCATGAAGAGCGCCATCAAGCCACGAGCGCAGGCTCCCGGGACTTGCAGCTCAGTGTTTGGCACTCCATGTCCCGGAGGCCGGACATGCTTAGATTCTGCTCCTTGTAAATAAATATCTTGACCGGCTGAACCAGACTTCAACAGGGTGGAAGTGTTCTGGGTCTAATCGATAGATGGTGCCAGTGTATTAAGCGGTTACGAGGGAATGCAACTCACTCAGTCCACTCAAACAGAAGTAGTTGAACTAGAGTGTACTAGAAACGATTGGGGTGACCGGAGCGCTATTTCTGAAGCTCCTCATGCAGAAAGATAATTAGAGGGCGCTATGAGCAAAGTGGCTTGGAACCAAGTCCTGCTCTCCTGCACCACTGCTGATTTCCCTGAACTTCAAAGACTATTTATTCAGGATAAACGTCAAAGGCATGTTGACGAAAATAATCCCTGGAAAAGGGGAACAAGAAGGACGAAGCACAAGCACAAATCTCCAAACACAGCTAAGTGACTGGTGCGTGACTGAAGAAATCCGCCTGGGGCAGACCAGGCAGATTTAATTGCAGACCTTTGCATTAATTGCGTTATACAGTGTAGACCGCATATAACGTATGTCGCGGGAGTCGCGAAAATCCGCACTATAAGCGGTACCGCGTTATAACCAAAACATCAATTTTTCAGGCCAAAATACATGCCACGAGACAACCTACCTTTGTAAAAGAATTTATTTTATGTTAGATGAAAAATAAAGCTTAGTTTGAGGAAAGTCTTTATTTCACCAGACCAGTACACATCTCTCTCAAGTGTGTCACACATTTTGAAAGAAATAAGCGGCTTCTGCCTGGCGCAGCCTTTTAACGGCGTCGCGGGTTGCGGACGGACGTTGCGAGCGTTCAGGATTGCTAACCCTAATCACTTTTCTCTGGAGATGAAAACGCGTGAAAATTCGCATCCTTCATACGGTACGCGCCAGTAATACCTTGAACTTGAGCACAGGCATGAAATGCTCCAAATAAGAAATCCGGGCGATGTTCGAAAACACAAATGCTTAGTAAGCACCACTTTAGCCGAAGTAAACAAACACGACGACACGGGCGTTTCTGCCGTCTTGAGAGCGCCGCCACATCGCCGCACGAGTAGGTGGATCTTCCCTTCTAGTACGTGCTGGGTTATCATAGCGACACACAACAAAAATTCACTGTCAAGCATAGCGCTTTTACGCGGAACGATGAGATGAACGCCACAACCGACGCCATGTTTGCGGACAGAAGCCGCCGGCCCGCGATTGGCATGCAACGCGCGCGAACACTTCTCGACCTGCGATTGGTCTGTCGTTTCGGTTGTTTGTTTCCAACGCAGCGGAGGGACGCACGCACATGAACGACACGTGCGTGCGTCCTTCCGTCGCTATGGCAAATGAAGCCTCTCTCTTCGCTTCTCCGAGCAACCTCCTTGCCCCGCGAGTGCCGTTTGCGGCTCGCGCCGTTATCTAGTGTCGCACAGGGAAGCGTGCTCGCTGCTCCGGTCGTCGGCGCGGTCGGCGGGCTGTGTGAGAAACCGCATTATAACCGGTATTTCCCTTCGCGCGCCTGCATTTTAAGCGGTATGTAATTACATGGAGTTCTATGGGAGGCGAACCGGTGGTTTAAAAAAACCGCGTTATACCCGGTCCTGCACTATAAGCGGTTACGTTGTAAGTGGTCTATACTGTAATCAAAGGTAAGTTATTTAGGATAAACCTCAAAGGCTGTTTGAGAATTATCATTGATTTGGGTACAATCGTGGTTCCTGCTGGCATTGTCTCGACCCAAATGAAGATTCTTGACGTCCGTCATTCTGCATACGTTTGATGTGGCCAAGCTATTGTCGTGGGGTTTGCTTGCTTGTCCTGGATGTGTGAGCTTACGTTCATTGCAATAAAAAAAATGAGTACCGAGGTCATAACTCTGTGCTCACGGTTCGCAGCACGGTGACTACTGGGACGATTTTATTGTAAACTCATATTTGCATGAACAATCAATAAACCAGCGCTATAATGTAAACCCTTCACCTTACACGCAGATATTTTATTAATGCAAAATGTGTTTTAGCGGCCATTTTTTTATGAAAAAAGTGTCGCATTCCACTGCCACGCTCAAGCGTTATCCTCGAGTCGTATGCTCGATTGACACACAGGTCCAGGTCATATAAACAGTACAGTCCCGGGCTATATTACTTGTACGACATAGACATGAGGCGTCGCATTAAGACGCAATGTCATGACAACCTAACATGACATCAGAACATCATGCGATGTCACAACAATGCCATGACGTTGACAACGTTGATGACGGTGTTACACAATACCAAGACAGCATTTTGACATTGTGTCACGTTCACAACGCCGTCCCCATTGTTGACATTGACGACGACAACGTCGGGCGACGTCAAGACGACATCGTCCTTGTCGTTGACGCAACATCATGATGACATTCTGCATCGCGTGAGATTTTCAACATTGTTTTCTTCATTGACGTTGTCGACGTGACGCGACGTCACCAAGACGTCCGACAGCAGTCATGCTTCCATCTTCGTAGGTGCACTCAACAAAAATCCGTAAACCGCGCACGTCATCCTTTTGAATTAAAATATCTTACGTCATGCACTAGAAACCTATTCTCGATTGTTACGTGCATAATATGACTAATTATTATCAAAATACAAGTAACACCGATAACTGAACCGACCTCTTTCGCTAACCCGTCGCTCCTCACTGCATCAAGCAAGGCGCCAGGGCTAGGGCATGATAGACGTCGCCCGATTCAGGCGATTCAGTCATATCTGTTCAGTCGCCTAGCACGCTGCATATCCACAGATGGATGGGTGGACATATCCGTCAGCTGTACCTTAAATTTGTTGTTTAAGCGTGGTCATGAACATTGTTTTTTTCTTGTCTGAGGTGCTCGTAATTTGACGGAGGCTTAATGCTTAGAAGGCCGAAATTCCAGTGCACGTCAAATGATCCCCAGGTGGTCGAAATGAATCCTCAATCCTTTGCTCGTGGGTGCCAGATGTCTTTCGTCGGTTTGGCACCTAAAACCCCCAAATTTGCTTTTTAACACTGTTTCGATTTGTGCTAGCCTCTCTTCGTCCTGTGTGCCCTGCGGGAGAATAAGCATGTGGGGCAGTGTTTCCCAAACTGTGCTACCCTGTGACCCATCAAAACTACAAAAAATATTGCCATTGCAACTCCCTTCCTTTCCGCAGTCTTTTGCAATGCCACAAGCTTTTTGATTTCAATGCGTAAGCAGAAATTCACAAAATTGATTCTAAATTTTTATTCGACAGTTAATATAGTCAGAGTGAACAGCCTGGGCTAGAAATCAACTACAAAACACACACCAGCCAGCAGGAATGACTTTTTAATAACAAAAGTGTGCTTGTTTGTTTGAGCAGCTTTTCAAAACGAGGAAAGAGTTTGAACACCCTAACTCTCAGTTCCTGTTCGAATTAGAGTTGCAGCCTGTTTTTTTTTTATTTTACTAAGGCCACTACAGAGAAGTCAGGTTTGCATACTTTAAAGGGATACTTTAACGAAATTTGAAATATACCCGTCGTGTTCAAAAATAGGTTGAATATGATGCACAATATCCGTAAATGACAATCGCACGTTTTTATTTTGAGCCTGGTGGCTGTATTTTTCGTTATTAACGGCCCGCTATGGCAAGCGCTCGGAGAAGGCCCAGCGGAGACCACGTAACCTTTAACGCAATCGTGACGTAGGTCGTCTCGGGACGAGCAAAGCTACGGCGAGGCTGACGTCGAGAGGATGGCCTAGTTGTTGCAGCCACTGAAGCGGCTGCTTTTGTAGGAATTTTGAGTGACTGGTTAATCTTCTGTAATTTTGTAGGGGGACAATAGCTACTTCTGCGACACACAAAAGGCATTCTCGGGAAGAGGGGAGTTCCTCCTTCCCCCCTTCTCTTGTCGTGGCCGGAGGCGAGACAATCTTCGTCACTGGCTGTCAAGGTTCCTAGACAGGCATTACAAGCGAGGCGTTAGCGACATCCACCAGGTGCTTTTTGCTAATCAATTAATTTGTTTTAAAATTCCTTTTCGTGACTTTTTTAACAAGATATTGGTATGTTCGATGTGATGCTGCTTTTTTGAACACATATAGACCAAAAAATGGGCGCCGAAATTTCGTTATAGTATCCCTTTAACATTTCAAGCCACTTCGTGACTCCCCGCTAATTATGTCGCAACCCCCCTTGAGGTCTAGACCTGCAGTTTGAGAAACACTGACGTAGGGTTTCTTTTTCTTATCTAGTTCAATCCCCACCCCTGCCCGTTTCGATCTGGACGAGCGTCGTACCGGCGTCTGGTCGTGTATCACTACTGCGTGGTGCGCGTTAAGGACCTTTGGCAAGTGGTTGTACTGCACTGGCTTAATTGCTTATCTACAGCTGAAAGACAACTTGCCAGTTGAGGCAGACTATCTTCAGGCTGTATAAACATACACACAAACACACAATTTAAATCTATGCAGTTTTCTATTTCAGTTGCGAACAAAAATTTGATATTCATATTTGATTTGACATTCAAATTTTTAACCGGCCACTATTCAGTACTTTGCAATTTGAATTCTATTCGAGTTTAAATTTTACTATTCGCACATCTCTAATAAAA